TACTGATGGATCTTTTCTTCGAGTCTAGCTACACCGCAGAATCTGCGACACCTATACAGGTATCTGCAGAAACGTCGACATCTTGGCCGTGTTACTGAAGAACGTCGTGCTGATTAGGGCGACATTCATCATTACCATATCCGTCTTTCGCCTATTCAGGCCATTTCACCGAAGGTTCCGCGGCTTGTCTGTTAAACCAGCCTAGAAATGAAACGTGATTGACTACCTTTTACAGGGGTTAAGTGGACGAATGACATACACGGGGTAATTAAACAGTACTCGTGATGGTGCGCTAGTGAGGAAGCGCTCTGCTAGAACTAGGAACACGTAATGGCCTAGGTTCAAAATCGGGCATGGACATGCTTCGTTTCATGTTCAAAAAACCTGACGCCTGAAGCAATGCTTAACTTATTACTGTTTCTTCTTTAGCCGACCTTCGGCCTGGACTGCCTCGTAGCCTCGATTTCAGGAGTCGCTTTAAACTTCACTACTACGAAAGCTACGCAACCTCCATATGTCTCCCCATCATAGTAACCAAAGGAACATTAATAAGAGCCTACGACTTGCGAAAGCAAAAAGCTAGTTCCAAAATGTGAGTAGAATATTATGATTGGAGTAAGCAATTAGAAATCAGAAAACGGAAAGCGTCACGCCCTTTTGATATACCAGTAGCAGACGCTTGCAATGTATTGTTGGTTTGCCAATTTACTGACTAATAAATCCGTTTTCGACAATGAATTTCTTAATTTCAAAGAAGCATCAAGAGAGTTTCTGTCGAATTCACTCTGATCAGGGCTACCTGAAAGTTGTTGTCGTAGTTTCAAAGAGTGACGTTGTTGATGGACATGATGAAAACCCCCATCTTTGGAAATATCAGACGAAGTTTTAGGTTTATCGTAGCCTCTTGTTTTTCGAGTTAGGGGCATAGCTAGGATCAGGGGCGTTAGGATGAACACATACAGCGACTAGAATGTAACGTAAAAACGAAAGATCCTTACAATATTAATGCTTAATCTGGAAGTTATTAACAGCTTTAGCCCCCGCCCCCCCTTACTCGCGAAATATGAAAGCCATGGCCGGGACTATTGAAGGCTTCGTAGACATCAAATTCAAAGACAAAAGGGACAAGGCAATGCTCGCTGCTGCATGTTAAACTATTATCAATGTATCGATTTTACAGATGTCGACTACCGCCGTTCTGAATGGCAACAGATAAACGTGCTATTGACTTCAGGCAGTCGTGTGCTACAAGTCGCAGGCGGAGCTACCTTTGCCTTCGGATCAGTCATTGTAAACAAGAGATGGGTTAAATCGACAGAAAAGTGTTCGTAGCATCTCCTTGCCAAATAGAAAAGGCGGCAAGGACGGACGGAGCAGCCAAGGAACCCTATTAAGTTTTAAATGAATAATTTCGATTAAACAGTGACCTCATTGCAAACCATTCACTCAATAAAGTATATAGCCTAGCCGTTTTAATGCACTAATAGGAGCTAACTTTCTAATTATTATTATTATTATTTGCACAGCATCGAAGGAATTTCATACTGAAACAAAGTTCTATAAAGTTAAAGCCTTCATACTTTGATTGTATGGGTTTCGGTTATTAATACTATTATTATAAGGTTTATGTATACGATCCCAAGAGCCGGCAGCATTTCCAATAGGTGGTTTCTCGTACGTTATGTTCCTGCATTCCTCTGCTTGACTCAATTTCCGCTGCTTTTCACCCAGATTTCCAGACAAAAATGGCTGATTTACAATTAATTTCGTTGTCTACGCACGCTTACGATTGGCGAAATTGCTCGTTTACTATGTAGCAGCACCATGCTAAAGGCATTGTTACCCACTGTAGGTACTGCCAGCGCACCAAAGGGTGCCGTCGCATCATACTGCAGAATCAATTGTCGTCACTTTCACGGAGTGTTTCAAAAATCTATACAAAATTTCAGTAATTATACCTCTAGCTTCTAATCACATATAATTAGTCTTTCAATTGTAAAATAGTAATAACGGTAAGACATTGGTTATATCTTATTTGGCCCTGTGGCGTGTCCTGACTCAAATACAGCTTTTAAATTTCCCACCAGGGTATTTGTTTTTTGGGGTATTTTTAACGTATTTTCACAAGGGGAGACATTTATCGATATCATTGGTTGGGCAGTAGGCAACGTAATCTATGGGACCTCTTTGTCCAGAGATTTATCGACAAACTATGAGCTTACATCATAAAGGTCCTTGCGAATGCGTGCAACAATAGATTCAAGTAACTGGAATGATCCATTTTTAATTTTTGCTCGAAATGCTCCTTGTAAACTTACACGGTACTCCTACGTGACAAATGGATTTATAATGGTGGAATAACTATGCCTACTGGTGCTGTGATTTAATTCCATTGCCCTAAATAGTTTGCCTCAGTAAGTGTGCATTGTTCTAAGTACTGCTGCGATACTGTTTCACTGAGCTCGGATAAATAGCGTCTACCACTGCCAAAATGTAACTTTTCAACTTGAACGCAATCGACGCTCTATTTCCATTTATAGATTTTTAGCATATTTTGCTAGAACATTCCAGCATTCCTCCTTGGCTAGTGGGGCTTATCGATGCCCTCGGTCTCTCAGAATGTTGTCTATAACGGAGCTCTGCGCATTCCTAATCAAGTTATTCAGGGACAGATGCCGTGTGTACTTCAACTTATTGGCGTTTACAAAATTGACAGTTTTTCCTTATGCTACATCTTCTATACTGGACGAAAAAGTTCTACATTAATGCGTATCGAATTATCGAGTTTTTTTGAAGAGCTAGCCAGACCCGATCAGCATCACAGTGCTTGACCGTTTATTCTGGCGCAAATTTTTTTTTAAGACGGGGAAACTGTTTTTTAAATTTTTTTTCTTCGAACTAGCTCCGAGCAGAAACATCCTAGATACTATTCAATCATTTGTGTTACTTCCTCGTGAGCTTGATGTGCGATTTTTCATTCTGTTCCGTATTATTAACATTAAGGCGTGATCAGATATTTCTCTAACAGCTTAAACTAGCATCTTCAAACCTTACGTTCCCGAAACCCATTGATACCGTTGGGACGGCACCATCTCTCTTGAATCCGGTCGACACTAGGAGAACCAGCGAGCCCTTCTTACCAAGTGGCCTGATTCCGTACTTCTGGTGATTATTATCATTATTATTGAATTGGATATAGAGCAGCGGAGACGAATGTCCCGGGAAGTTCAGGCAGAAAGTTCCACAGTTGAGCTATAGCTCAGGTCATTTTCCAACTGATAACTTCTGATCGATAGGTGTACATAAATGTTAGTGCAATATTTTGATGGAAAATACAAGTTCGACAGTACTAAAGCTGCTTAATTGCAGAGATCAGATAGGCTAGGTTTGAACGATCGTTCTCAAAACTGTATCCTTTACAGGACAGATCATGAATGTGAGAATAGCTAATTGTTGTTTCTTTGGAAATGTTTATCCTTTGTTCTCGGCATGGCATACATTGTTTGTACGAAAGAACGAGCTAGACAACACAATCCAATATACAGATACGTCGAATGGTACACTGAACGATACAAATATAGGTGAATCCGAAGCGAATCATGTTGATCCCGTGGTAACTATTGCAAAGAGCGTGTCATAAAAATAGGCCAGTAAATACCTCAGAACCAACCGGCAAAGTATTATGGCAATGAGTTGTGCAAAAACGTAATTTGTTATTTCAAAGACTTCACTTTATATTTGTTTGTTTTCAGTAAATTACACAGCTTTCTGATCTAGCGATATCGAAACACATAGCCGAAGTGGTCTCCTAGTATCTATTTGTTAATTGGTTCGCTGAGGGAAAATGAATACATACGACTGTCTAAAAGCCTGCGTGTTTTATCTAATATTTAATTCTGATAAGCTTTCTGTCGTGATTGCTTTACGGCTATGTGTATCCACCGCTGTTTCTAGTGTTTCAATTCCGAAGTAGCGGCTATGTTAACTTATACGATTATTGCGCGAAAAGCCAGATTCGTTCAATCAACAATAGTAGGTAGTGGCTCAAGCAAAATTAGGCCTAACCTTTCGAGCCTGAAATAGGCATTGCCCTGGTCAAGTCTGCAGGCAAAGACGAAAAACTACAGCAAATCGTCAAGTGGGTAAATCTAGCTATTAGTCAACGCCAACATCGTACCGGGACCACCATATTCTCTTGCAATACATCTGTCCCAATTTAATGACGATAATTTCTATCTGCTATTTAAATTGCTGCCGTACTTGGTGCGCCAGATCGAAGTTGATGCTTCGGCACCAAAACTTATATTTTTTTGAAAATTTCTTTCGATAGAATTTGAGTAATACTTGCATTGGAACTTGACCTTACTATGGTATAAGTACATGTTATGTAAATTAATTCTGTTGGCTGGACCTAACATCATTGGGGCCAGATTTTTGCTTCCGCCACTCTCGAGCTTAATTGATTCGAACCTTTGTTTATTTAGTGCTATGGACTGCATTGCACATTAAGGTTCTATAACTCACTGCGCATTTAGCATTACCGGGTTAGAGGTTTCGTAGAGCTTCAGATAGGGTATCATCGGCTAACTTTTCCTCCGACGAAGCAAGTAAACGCTTATTCTGATATATGAAGAAGTGAAAACGGGCAAATCGATCTCCCGTCTTAGATCCAAAAAATATCAGCCAAAAATTATAGGACGAAAGTCATTCATTGAAAACACAATTGACCTTGAACGTCGCATGACATCCGTAGCCCTATATCTCCTATGTATAACGTACGGGGCAGTTACTAAAGGCGTCGATACAATGTCTTCATTGGAGCCAATATGAATAAAGCCTATTTTTTGAGAAGCTACGTGCCTCGATTAACGCCATTAGTTCAGGTTCAAGTCTCGATAACTGTTGTTGCGTTCGGTAGCTAGGCGTTTCTAGGTGATCGTAATCATTGGGGACCAGATTACGTTGATACAGTTACCATATATTGAAATTAGCGAGTATCTTTTGATCAATTTCACAACGAAAACGAAATTCGTTGTGTGAGACAAAGATTGCGGGAGCAAAGAGTTCCGATTAACAAGATCATGTCGAGTTTCTGTGAGTTCGTCAATCGGAATGTTGGGAAAATTCGACTATTGGAAAAGATAGAAAAACATCCGAAATTTCCACCCATTCATCGAGGCGATAATCTCTTGAGGTATTTTTTCTTGCCATTTAACGCATGTCGAACATTTATAACCATGACGCATAAGCATTGTACTCGTTGTTATTTTTTACCGGCCATCTTCCGGTCGTACTGTGGCGAACAGGACTTTCATTGATCAGGCCATTCAAAACAGGAGTGGATTTGACGATAATGCGATATCTCCTGCTTATCAAGCAATATTGACCTGAAAGCGGGGTATTTCCACGTCTGTACTGACTACAGACATTCACCTAAACAAAGTCTATCCGAACCGAAAAGTAATCTGCTGCTATATTGACTATGAACTCGTTGAACATTTAAGTGTCCTGCTCCTGAAACCTCTAGAAAATTTAGATGTTTTACAACGTAGGATTTCTGGTACTACCTTAACTAGGCATTGCGTCAAACGTCTGATGACCTGCAATAAATTATTATTATTTTAGCAATAAATAAAACGTACGTACGTTTGGATTCAAACCTGAACGATCATCGTTGACTAGAACGTTTTCACAGCATCATCAGGGGGGAGAGGCAAGGGGTGGTAACCTAAGGGATGTTTTTAAAGCGATGCTATGCATATATGCTCTCTATTCAACGAAAGTGACAAGGAGAAATGTTGTAGCTGATTAATCTTTGCAAGAGCTGATGTTGCCCATTATCAAAAATTATGTATGCTTATATAAAGAACGGGTACTTTCGAAATTTTCTAGTCGGCTCTTTTACGAATTTCAGTTTTTTACCTCTTAGCGATTACATTTAAACATAAAAACAACCTCAAATAAAAACGTTTTCGAGAAGAAGGCGAGAAACCTTTTGGCTTTCTAGCAGTTTCGTAGCAGCAAATGTTCGCTTACCTCGTTTCCAGATACATCTACACTGTGGCAATTATTTTCCATGTTTACATGGTGCTCTCCGGTTGGGTGGGTGTCTGGAGCTTCTTCACGAAATGTCCAAGTCTTCAGCTATATGAGAAGCTAGTCCTCATTGCCCTTCGCCTTGCCGTCATGGGCGTTCATTGTGTTGCAGCAGCCTGTTTCGTATTGAACATTCTTGGGGGCGCCCCGGTTCCTCCCTGCGAAAGAGTGTGTCATCTATATCATCAGTTTATGGTGATTTACCGCGGCGTCGCACTCCCAGCGTCGATGCTAGTAATGATCGGATCGCTTTTAGGCTTGAACCTGGAGCAGTTCGCGTTGCTCCTTATTCATGTGCCCGTTGAAGCGATTGGACTGCTCTGGCACGTGGTTATCTGCGATGCTTTTTTGCGTGGCCAGCCATCAAATGACGTTAATGAAGCTCTGGGAAGCTCAGCTAATTCTTCGAGCCATGGCGCTATAGCGCAGCAAGGCGCCACTGCATCAAATAAACCCGGCTTTAAAGCGAAACCGCATCCAGCACCAGCTTCTGCCGGGTGGGCTAAGGCACCGCCTAGTCCTGTCAAAGCTGGGCTAGCAAAGCCCCCAATGGTTTCGAAAGAGTCGAAGGATAGTACCAGCAAAACTTCTAACGCTGTACCGCCAGGACGCATCACCACAGACAAACAGTCTGCATCGACGCCGCAAGGTAACGACCTAGCTGCAGGAAAGCCACCGGCTAACACTTCGAGTAAAAAATCTGATGCGGAAAGAAACAGGAATAACAGTGACTAGCATTATTTCGAGCGAATGAATTGGAACAAGTCCTCGAGTAATTCAATATGAAGACTTGACGGCTTTGCAACCGCCAGATAGAAGGCGTTGAGAGATATGACAATCGATAAATCGGCGTTTTAGAAGTAAAATTTGGTAGAAGTTTATCTGCAGTTGACTGCCCAGTCGAATCGTTTTCATTCATCATGATAGTAAGTCAAAGCAAATTGTTACAAAATGTTACGTTATTGAAATTGGGTCTACAAAGTATTACGTTATTGAAATTGGGTCGATACGTGTTCCGCCCATTTGAATAGAATGGCGGAAGTGGCACATTCAGGATGTCATTCCAAATGGTTACAGAACACATGAAGGTTACTTCGGATGTAAAGGTGAAGACCAGGTTAACCGCGAGCGACACCTTTTACAAATTGACTAGGAACGTTCCCGTACAGAGATTTATGGTGTAATAAAATCTACAGTATTCTGAACATTTTTGGCTCGTGTACCGTTTAAGAATAGAGGGGGTTATATTGCGTCTGGATGAGAGGTAGTTTGAAAATATTGTTTTTTTTTACTGTTCGGGTCATATTGAGAAAAAGCGATCTCTGCAATTTTTAATCGCTGTTAAACGAAACCGCCGCGATATATTGATGCACACTTCTAAAATGATTTTAAAAAAAAATATTAAAAAAAGTGTCCTTTTAGCAGTCCTGATTAGGGCAACAGTACCGGCGGCAATGGTAAACGAGGCAATGTGTCTTAACTATAAACGCGTGTTAGGCTCTTCTCCGGGTTCACGCTCGACCCGCTATGAAAACTTAGTAATTGCCAAATAAGGCTGATATTCAGTCGTGTGAAAAAAGAGCAGAGTTTCGATGACAGAACGGCCGTATTTATTGCTTTGTAAATCATACGAGGATGATATTGCAAACAAGTACCCAGTAATCTATCATCACATCCATCTCTACTTCGGTTATGAGCATTCAACTTTACACGTAACGATCAAAGTGGAATTATAGGTTATGTGTGCGTTGATGGACCGCTTGAATATTATTTACAAAATTATTGATTTACCTCATTTTTGATGTTTTATGGTCTTTTGGTTTACAGGAGAAAGAGCATTTTTCTAAACGCTAATTAATATACAGCCACACAATGGGTGGATATGATACAAGAGTGGGCACCGCACAACAATAAGACCGTGCTTATAATACATTTTGAATGCAAAGTAAGCTATCTCTCACGCCGTTTGCCCGTACTCAAATCTATTTTTATTCAAGAGACATGTAATTATCCTAACGATCCTCGTAATTCAGACGATCTCTGAAGTCGTATGACTCCTCTAAAAAAATCCGATCAACATGATGCTTTACAAAACGGCCGTAGGTGATTTGCTGCAATATCCTAGGCATAACGATCCTAATAGAAACGTTATTCCCGTAATTAAATCAATAATACATGTCGGCATCGTCATTGCCCATTTGATGTTTGATCACTAACGACTCTATACGTTGCTCTAATCATTAAAAATCCAAAATTCTATATATACAATTTTTTTTTCTAGGTTTACCTTCACCAATCTCTTCCTGAGGTCGTGAACTCTAGCGATCTCATTTAACACGACACATCGAGGTTCTGGAGCATGGGCAGTTCATATTTATTCGCCCTACAACGCAACACCAGGATAAAATCCATAACTTTAGCTCCGACTTTCAATATTATACGACAACATACATTTTCCCATCGACAACTGTATCTGAAAGCTGCGTTTGTTATATAATATTTGGATTTAAATTAAGCGTATTACAAGAAGCGGACTCACTGTAACATTTGTTCGGTGAACACAGCGGGAAACGCTTACGTAGGGTTTTAAGAGGGCGATGTGAAGGTACTCTGCGAAGTAATAGCCTTCAGTCTGTGATAATCAAGTTAATAATGTAAACTTTTACCATAAGCGTTTGTTTGAAGTCGGGTGTGAAGTATTTGTAGGCCTTCCACGAGCAAAGATCATTATCTACGCCTGTACTTCGTTCCATCATTAGGCTTATCTTACCAAGAATTAACACACGAATTTGCTTCTGGTTAAGATCCCGCCACGAAATCTCGCAATGGAGAGCACATTTACATGAAAGTATAGTCGACAGAACATACCTTCTCTGAGCAAGATTTTTGAATTTTAGTTAGAGAAACGCTCACGAATACATCTGAATTACTGAAAAAAAAGGCCGCGCGATTTAGAGCATTCTTATATACTTAAAATATTCAAATCCTATGGTAATAAATGAAATTTCACCGCATTGAGTTAGATATAGCGCTTTGATTACTAACGCATTCGGTGTCTATATTAACAGTTGTATTTATCAACATAGTGCCAACTTTTATAGAAGTGTATACATCTACTTTATAAGACAGTAAAACAGAATGAGTAAACGGCAGTTGGAAACAAGCACCAACATGTTTGGTTGATTGTTGTTGAAAGTTATTCTTAGAATTTAGATCTGAGCCCCTTGAATGTCTGCTAACGGTACGTATGACGTAACTTCTCAGTATCTAAGATAGTTATCGATATTTGTATGACTTTGTTTGGCTACTTAACACGTCTCAGAATCGTGCACAAAAATACAGCTACGTGTAGAACTTAGACACTAGCTTCTGTATCCCAAGAAAGACAAACTCTATTTACTACATTGTTTTTTTATTACATATTACCTCCTCAATTGCGTTATATACAGTCCGAGTGAATGTGTGTGGGCACAGCTTTCGCGTACTTGGCAACGATGTAACCGTCCCTCCCGTACAAAGCTTTGACATCATCAATCGTGTCGGGCAATTTTTTATTCAGCGTTTCCGGCAGCAAGGCAACACAACCGATGATTGATGCGCATAGACCCAGAATGATAAAACATGGTACAGAAGTGTGGGTCCAGTCTCCGATATTTTTGATGAAAGGGGCGAATGCAGCTCCGCCACGGGACAGCATCATGGCTGATGCATACCCAGCCGTTCGTACCGGGGTCGGATAAACCTCGTGCACTGAAACCCAGACGATGAAGCCGTAGTTATTCACAAACACTCTTGCAATCATGTTTCCCCAGACTTTCGTCAGCTTGTAGCTGTCATCGAGAAAGAATACGGCCGCGAAAATGCAGGCCGCCACGATGATATTGAACATCTGGGTTTGTCGACGACGACAATTGCGGATGAGGTACATAGCAATAAATGCCGATGGGAACTCGGCGAAGGTTGATATGGCGAAGTTCAGGTGAGGGTTCCCTGGTAGCCGATGCGCATTTAGTGCACAATAGTAACTAATCGAGGACCAGCAAAACCAGTTCAATCCTGTAGTGAGTGCGGTATAGCGTAGTATGGGAATTTTCATAATATCGATAAACCCCAGGTTTCGACTCTTGACCGTACTTTCACTTTCGGCATGAATTGCGAGCTTCGGCATGACCTCTGTCATGTCGGGTACTGGTCGCCGATTCATCTTAAGTATTTTTACGATGACCTGCTCCGCTTCAGTGAAACGGTGTTTGGCCACGAGCCATTTGGGTGATTCATGGATAACCCAGAAGAACGGAAGAATCAAGAGGCCCGACAGGCCGATGGCGAGTTGCATATAACGGAAATTCAACAGATAATAGGACAGCAAGGGTATAAATATAACAGGCACGGTATAACCTATTCCAAAGCCAATATTCATATAGATGCGATCTGATTCGGGTAGGATTTCCATGAAAGCTGTAACGAGCGCCGCAGTCATACCGGAAGTGGCTCCGGCCAAAATGAAACGCAAAATGTTGAACGTTATAAAGCTATGGACAAAGGCTGCAGCTATACCAGTACTTAACAGGAGAGCAAGGCCTACGAAGAACGTGTGTTTGCGGCCCAATTTGTCGGACAGCCTGCCAAAGATAATAACCCCTACGAACGAGCCCGCCATAATGATACTTTGCATCGCGGATGTTTTCCACGCGTCCCCACAAATGAGTTGCCACTCTTCAGTAGCTGTTAGTCCGAATCCTTCGCGGTCATATTCGAAACCATTAGTACAACTCAACAACTGTTCTCGATCAAAACGTATTCCGAACTCTTCGTTTGGCTGGCTTTCCCAGGCGTACATCGAACATCCGTCGGGTTCCAATGACCACTTGTTGACACGGGGCAAGCCATGCTTCCTCCACCAGGTTCGAGGTATGCTGGAGTTCGGGGGGGCGCACCAGTGCTTGACGTCGGCCGCCATCAAAGGCGACATCAAGTTAGTCCACGCGACAGGGAAGGCGCGCAGACACGCTAGTAATGTGACTACGCCTGGAATTACATGATCGCATCAGCATTAGGAATATCACCGTGTAATTAAGCTACATCATATATGGCCAGGGTGATACAGTATGAGCATGAAACAGATTTGCGTGAGGTTGTAAAGATTTAACAACTCGTAGAAGCAATAAATAATCTAGAGCTAGAGTAAGGTGGAACTTGCGCTCGTCAGGCATCACATCGTCATTGAATGACATTAAAACTAAGGCCAGCCAATATAAAACACTATCAACTTAGCTCTAAGTTATACTGATATACTTTGCCCTTAATTCTTTATGGCCTTATTACTAGAACTGCTGGCGCCATTATTAGTTGAGTACTTAAATTTTTTTATAACGCTCAAATGATCTACACATAAAATCCGGTTATGATGTGGTTTTAAATGGACAATGCAACGAGGACATGGCCTTTAACGATGTGATGCCCGGTAAATTTCGCATAACGAATTTCTAATTATTATATAATATCAAGCATTGAATTTAGTGTTATGCGATTTCTTTGAAGGACATAAACTTTTCACTTAGCAACCGCCAGATCGGATTGATCCTTGGAACGACAATAAGCAATACGCAGTAATTACGATCACACAAGGCCTAATCCAACAACTTCTGTTTCAATGATTACCATATCCACCGTTACGTCACCGCCATCTGTTTGCAGGGAATGTCTTGTTATTGAGGGTTTGAATTCTATGGCTTTAAATAGCCATAGATTTATTCGAATTGTGTAGCCTGTATATGTATGATACAACCCATGAATATAGAATTTGCGTAGATGGCGAATATTTTCGTACGAGATTCGAGGGAAGGATATATTTATATTTTGTTGAAAGTCTGTCCTTATTTGAGGACGAGTGCCCGTGGTAATCTCAAATCACTGCCTCAAATGTATGGATTTAGACGAGCATTTTTTTTTCGCAAAGCGAGCTCAAAATATACAGTCGTTCCTGTGAGGACTCTATTCAAACTCATAATCGCTTCCGTTCGTTTTTATTGTCTGCTAACAAACAAGGGTAGCTTTGAGTGCAACCCTGCAAAGCAGGAAAGATATTGAAAATTTGCTGCCCTAGCATAAGACACACATAAAATCGCGCAAAATTTAAAACTCATGGACCTAATACGAACAGATCAGGTAAGTTTTATTTTAAATGTTCCACAAGCCGAAGTGTGAGAAAGTGTAACAAAGTATGGTGTATTGGTTTGTTAACACAACAAATTACGTACATATTTGTTATGATCCTGCGACTGTAACTCCGTTGAATTTACGTTTCATCAACGAAGGGTAAGCTGTCCTGTTTCTCCGCTTTCAACATACACAAAGTCCTTCACAAGTTTCCATGATAACAAGTTATTTTGTATGAAGACACCATCTAAGTAGAGCAGTTTCTATAATAATAATAATGAAGAGAATAAGTACATGCATTCCTCATTCGAGCTTAAAAACTAGAAACTACATTCTGTCTTACCATGGTAAACGCCAAACCGCCCAATGACCTGAACAACGTCAAGCTCTTTCATGGCTGCGCTGATGAGGGTCTTGTCACCGGCCTCCTTATGTGCCAATAACTTTTAATAGCTTCTAAACGCGTAAAACAATATAAGATGCTCAAAACGCTAAGACAACTTGTAAAAAAATATTGCGCTTTTCATTGATGCGATGGTATGGCGGCGAGGAAATACCTACTCGCGTGCGTGTTGGCTGCGCGGTATGCCATAAAACAAGTCGAACGCTTATAACACAGTCTTGATACGAAAGGATCTCGTGTACAAACCGAGCCAATCTAGATCCTCACTGGAGTGATGGAAGCCGAACGTCTGTCTTCAGTACGGCAGTAGCGCCCCAGACTGCCTCAAACAACTTTTTTGAGGTTTAGACTAACGAGGCTTTCTACAAATTACCTAAAGTAATGGTAAATACATAGACGCACTGTTCGTTTTGTGCTGAAAGCGGCCAGTTGTATGAATCAATGCTGTCGCTGTAATATTCGGGTTCGAGTAAAAACAGGTGATTTCTAAAAAACGTCTCGGGTTGTCGATCCGCTACTATTATCAAATACTAAGACGGCTGTTCCGTTATGGAATAAAGGGTGATTTTAGTGCACTATTAATTTTACCAGCGGCGATTATTATGGCATATCTTTACGCGGCAAAATTGAAAGTCAAGATATCCTGTTGGACAAAAATGCAATTGTATACTCTGCATTATATATATCAGAAGGCTTAAGGTTGTTAAAGTCTTGGGTGGGTAAGGTTTTCTGGTAATAACTAATAATTGAATGCTTGGCTAAAAGGGGAGACGGCAGTGAATTAAACAACACGTGCATCAACCTCTCAATTTTTTCAACAAACAATTTTAAATATATACGGGGTGTTAAGAAAATCCCGCACAATGCTACAAGGAACTAAGCCGAGTCCAATGTTTCTAAGAAAATGTTTTTTAGGTGGTACCGCATATTTGATAATAAAACTATTATTATTAGTTATTTCAGAGAATATTGGATCAAATCTCAATGATCCGGTCCGATTTTCGTGAAAGGTCATCGTCGATTAGGATGTCATCAGGCGGACGCGGATTTTCCGACGTCATTCTGATCCTACGACAACTAAACGAGATTGCACGATGTATTCCATTGGCTATTTAAATCAAGCATTGAAATACTTCAGAGAAATACGTAAGCGATACGTTTATAGTTCGTATTCGAAGTCTGTCCATTTTAATTGGCTATCGTGAATTGGCAAATGATTAAACATTACTACACAATCATATAACACGATTCAAGTAATCAAAGGTTTAAGTTTTATTTTATTTAAGTTATATTACAGTAAGTGCTATTTTTACGCGAAGCACCGATATTGAAAAATAGCGACAGATCCAAGTCGTTATTCCGGGTTTCGAGTGTCCCTAAACGGTGCTTGCCTGTTATGCATTATGGCTAGAACTACTCTCCCAAGGATCTCTCCTCGATGGCAAAAATACCATAGAAAGAAGCGTTGTCAGTTGCTAATGTCGGAGCGTAACAGTCTCTCGTAGCCCCCTTTGCGATTGACGACAGATGTTCTGTGTAATTGACGAAACTTGCGGTCTCGCCGGACCGTCATATCAGCACCAAACGCGTAGGATAGTACTACGTAACATCAAACGATTTGTTTAATCAAATGTTAGTGAAGTAAGAAATGGTGGAAGTGTTACGCTCGATTCTACTGTTTTGCGTAAGTATTGCTTTAGGAAGCTGCTGGCTCTTTCCCGTACAAAACAAAGCCTACATCTATGCCCAGTTTCAAAGCTAAATTTTCAAAAAGTTCAGAATTCTGAATCATTCAGTTTCTTTACACAACCAAAATTTTTAACTTCAAAATCTTCACTGAGTGCCCCTATATTGGCGCCACGCGTACATGATACGGTTCTGTACAAAGCCTACATATTTTTTTTTTATAAATTAACTCATCGCGCGCCAAAAAAGTAATAACCTTGAAATCATATTCAATGTCAAGCGCGGTAGTTTGTACTACCACGACCTCAGGAAGCTGTTAACAATGTGAGTTCTAGATGCAGCTATAGAAGAGATCGATTTTCCGGGTTATTATTAGATAATTCAGGAAATATCAAGCCAGCAAAGATTCCGCCCTACGATTGCGTAGTTAAATTGTAGAGTATATGCATTTATTATTAATACTGAGCCTGCTTCATCAGAACGCTGTCTTCTATATATGCAACTATAGTGTCTTAATATTGCACGGCACGGAGATCCCGATAGGATTTTTCTTACATATCTATGTTAGCGAAAACGGTATTTTTTTCATAAACTGTTTAATTTAGATATGTTTCATACATTTGTACATACATGTTTGTATAAAACGTTCTTATAGCGCGCGTACGAACTATGCTGTTTCGTAGATCCTCATATTGTGAAACATCTGTCCTTCCAGTCTGATGACCGGTGCTGCTCACTATTTGGTCTCCTTTAAATTACTCGCAGAACTTGGATGGGATTTAGTGTGCCTCGGCAAACGTTATTTCGGGTTTCCAAAACTGCTTTCAAACTCAGATTTGTGCACTCGCCAAGAACGACTTATATTCCACCTGATGAGTAAGCCCTAGTAGATGCTGAGAGATAATTGGCCAGAGATCGATATACTGCATGACAGGTATAATTAAGTAAGGAAATAACATACTATTGATCGTTAGTATTGATAATTAGTGCCAGATAGTAAACAATATTCTTATGTGATTAGTTTTCTCTTAAAGAGCCTTTCAAGGCGAAGTTGTTCTCATAATTTAAATGGTCTGTTTCAGCTTACGAGACGCATTTTAACATTTTGTCCCTATTTCGCTTTATTATTATTTTCTATACGTGAATATATAATATTAATTATAGCATTGTTGCAATAGATATTATGGCCAGCTTAGCCCTAAAGTAATTTTTTAATGAGAACGACTCAGAAATAACTGAACGTATGCGTGTCCCCTTTAGTTCTGCAAAACATATATGTCAATTGAATTATACCTATAAATATAACAAAATTGACTGAGGTGTTTATATGATTAAAATCTTTAGTATGTCAAAGGCTGGATAGCAGGATGCCTGTGTGAGCTCTGAGTGGTGCTCCCCTGTCGACATATAGGACCTTAAGCACAGGTTTAAGAAGTAGTTTTTTTTGTTAGCTTACATAATTGTTCAATATATTATTAATGATATTGGATTGAGCTGTTGAGGAAGAATCAATCGCGAGTTTGTTTTCGCATTTTGTATTGCAGACTAAACAAGCACGTGTTTAAGTTACTGGGAATAGTCGTAAACAGGTGCTTAAGTTGAAAGATATTTCGATTCGTTTAATGCTCAAAATCCTAAAAGCTAGTAGGCTTTTTCTTTGTGGTTAATAAAGTCCGTAAGTTTTTCCCCGTATATTCACGAATGTCTGACTATTTTTAATTTGGTAAGTGATTATAAATGATTTTGGTAAATCGTTTGCGTAACCACCTCTACACTTAACCTATGCGGTGTGTACACTACGTAATAGGCGCATTAAATAAGTTGATTGATTGATTGATATTTACCCGTAATGGTATAATTCGAAAAAAGAATGATTCCAGCGGGTTCGGTTCCTCTTAGAGCAGGTGTAAGAACGAATCTTTGCTAGTCATGTACACTTTTTCCTGCTATGTATATTCAATGAAAATATACCGAAATATTTCTATTCTATAGAAGAACTTTGGTGACACTTGCATATATATATATATATATATAGAACTTTCAGGCAATAAAAAGTCAACGTTGTAACTTCGTAATTAAATGTCTCTAATTGATAAATCACATGCTTTAGGTAAATCTGTCGAAAACATGGTCGCCGGCGGGTGTTACCACTGGCACCCATACGAGAAAAGGCGATGGCTATCGAGGTCCCGTTATGGGAGGCGATACGGGGTCATTAGCCTACAGTCCACGGTTTTATCACGTTAGTTTAATCAAACCATCGCTCTGATCGTCGCGTTAAAGGTATCTCCACTAAGCATGCGCCTTGGTGCTTCGTGGGCGAAAGCTATTCGAACTATGTTACCGCTGGCCTTATTCACTTATAGAGGAGTCGTTAACTGCCCAAATAACTCCTGTGTGTCCTCGTTAACTTAGTGGGCAACGCGTGCGCTTGCCTGGCAATCTTATGGATACGTTGTGGTCTAGGTTCGAACTCGAGCGGAGACACATAGCGTTCCGTGCTGGAGTCCAGACTTCTGATGGAATGCCTAACGGCCATACCGGGTGTAAAACTCGAGATAAGATGGGTTTTCTCGCTGCGACGCTACATGTCCGAACTCACGTTCTGCCTTTCAAGGTCGCCCTTTGCCTCTTGGCCTATGTAAGTCGGTTTCCGTACTTGACTTGTCTTTTTTGCGAACGACAGAAACTTCACTGTGCACTTCATTAAAATAGACAGGAGGACAGATAGGCGATCAGATCGCCTCATCACTTGTTTCTCGTAACCACTCCGAACTTCTTCGGAATATGCGTCGTTTGGCAAAACAAACAAAAAAAGTCGTGGTAAAGCCCTCTTGCTTACACAACCACTGGCACTACACAGTGACATGAGATCGCCAGTTGTGTCCGAGCATCTATAATGTCGCTTTGAACTAGCAGGAAACAGAAGCCTTCAAGACAAACGCTAAAAAGTCGGAGCAAAAGTCTACAAAAATCAATAGGGATTTCTTTACTTCAGCTATGATAAGGAACAACCGGCCAGACAGACATGTCGTCACTCGCTTTGCCGTGCATCAGTTACATACCATCATAGACTCTGCCAGAAACCAAGTTCTTGCAATACATGCAGGTGCTTCAAATGCAGCGGAAATCGTGGTATATATCATGCTGCTCCTTGCCCCCTGGTGCCGTCTTTTCTATACTTAATCTCTTGAAGTAGTTTCATAAATTCAGCAAGACTCGTACAATCTATATGACGAAAATTATTTTAAATGGTATTACATACTCGCTCCGATATCATAATGTTATGTTGTCGACCCGTGTAAGTGACTACTACCAGGAAAGGTGTATAAATGAAATTTAAATGACCGAAGTATGCACTTATGAAGAAAACCCGCTTCAATTTAGGAAAACGTTTAATTTCCACTCCAGTCTAATATATTTGACTTCGGTGTTTGTTGTCCTTCTGCGTACTTTTGACCTATATTGTATAAAACAAGCTTATTTTTGTCCTATTCGGCACAGAAAAGTGCTCGATACACGCACGCAGATCTTTTAGTTGTGAACTATTTTTGAGCTGCTTCCAACGAAGCTCAAGTTGTTGCTTAGCGTTTATAGAAAGCTTTTCCGCACTCCAAATCATATCGTGATATCGATTAAGAATCCTATTCTTACACAAGAGAACGCAAAATGGTCTTTTGGTTTTTCACTACTTAATCGTCTCATCATTCTTTCGCAGGACGGTAGATTGGATGGCTAAGCTTCCGGCCGAGAAGATCAGCAGTCGCTGGCTCAACTCTCAGTAATGAAAACAATATCACACGGTACCGACATAGTTTTGAGTAAATTTTAGGCGTTACGTGTGAGGCAACATACACCGATACACAAAGTGACTTTGTTCTAGAACCGTGTTTAGACCCGGATTCGAATTTGAAACACTTCCCATGTCTCTAAATTCAGTAGGACAAATCACGGACACAAAGCTACCATAATCATATAGAGTAATTCACACGAAAACCCCTCATTTATCACTAGCGTCTCGAGTACAGGGAATACTGATAGCCATTTTGTACTGGACTCGAAAGTCTTCACTGTAAAGCGTCAGCACTTTAATTGACTAAACAAAAATGAGTCTTCGCTCTACAGTGGCATAGACATGTACGTATTTTCTTTTTACACTTGATTATTATTTAATTAAATTCAATTAACATCCCCGCATATACCTTATAGTCTACAATTATTGTTTTAATGCTACAGCTGAATTTACCGTGGGCGGAGATTCTGCATTTGCAAAACCGTGCGTACGCAGTTTAACCTCCGTATTGATACCGCTAAATGTGAAGATTTGGAGGCAGGGGGTCGGCCACATACCCAAAAACATTTGCGGAACTTGTTCAGCGCTCAGTTGTTCGGAAGAAACATGGAGTTAAAAAGATAAAATTGCCCCGTTATCATCATGTTACCTATTTTCGCGAATTTACTATCTGTCGTCGCTGTACCAAATGAAACTTAGAAAAAAACCAGCAAATATTAAACCCAAAATTCAACTTACTGTATGTATGAACTTCTCTGTAACGTAAGATCGTGGCTTTTTAGGACGTATGTTACCGTTAGATCAAAGGTCTTTTTTAGAAGCTACTGTGAATACAAATTAACAAACAGAGGTGTCTTATATTGGAAATACAATCCTCGAATTCGAGCTGGATTTTATTTTCTTACTTATGTTAATCATCATCATCAGAAAGCAGAACCATTCACTTGAAAGTACTTAAATAGAAAAACACTTTTGTTCATATACATTTTACAATTAATAACTTTAAATGTTAATCCTAGACTATTCACCGTGTAGTACACTCGAGTGATTTGGTGATACAAGCATATCTCCAGCATTTTGCAAATTTTCGCCGTTTGGGAAATTACAGTTTATCCAGCTGGAAAACGTGCTCCCCTTTCATACGTTCTCCTTAATCAGCCGAATCATTTGAGGGAATTTTTTCATGTCTAGCAGAAGTACCTGTCAAATAATACATCGTATTTTTACACCAAACTGCACGCTCCGCCTCCGTGTCAATTTCTTTCGCTACTGGATGTTATTGTTTGAAGCGATTCGCACCCCTTATGATCGGGTTTAAAGTATATCATCGATATATAGGTCGCTGAAGTTTTACGTCCAATAGTACTGTTAAGCGTTGCTTCAGTTGGCGGTACATATAGAACCCAGAATTATATAGAATAAAAATAAATTTCTGTGTATGATTGAAAGGCATTATGAAGAAATTTTGTAGAGACAAAAGCTGTCTAGACCTTCGCAAATGAAAGCAATTATTTTCATATTATCAGATGTTTCATCGTACCTTGCGAATCTGTTTTAGTTCTTCATCGCTTTTCTTCCATTTGCCAGCAAGCGCCGTATCGGCATCCTGTCGTGGGACCTGTGCAATAAAGTGATCAAAAACGAGGTGATGTTCGGTGAATAAGGACTAAAGGTTCTATGGAACTAGAAGCTGTTTTATGTCTTTCGTTCAGTATTGCTATAAGTAAGTGTTCCTTGGCCCGTCCTAGCGTGAAGTTAAGTCTGTCTAAACCCTATTTTAAGCAAAGGCCATCTGTCACTGAGTGTCACAGTAGGTAACGACGTTACCACTACACCATCACAGCTGTCCAATCATCGCTACTGGCTCTGATACTTTGTTTCCTAACGCTAGTATGGCAATAAGTCATATTCTCAGCTTGGATATACGGATACAAGATTAAAGGGTGCGCTGTGCCTTTCGATAAGACGTGTTGGTGAATTTTCCATATGCCTGAAAATTGCAATTGACGAGGCAATACATTGCCTATATATTTATTTGACATATGTGCTGTGACGTTGGCTAAACTGAAGGATTCGTTCCAACTAAGATTTTAGCGTGTTCAGAAACTTAGCACTACAAGCGATAGGCTTCCAGCTGGAGCTTTGAAGCTAAAGGGGTTTCAACCCGTTGTTTAAAGCAATGGCTGAACTTCAATACGTTTTTCGAAAGTATCTGAAAAGTGTCTTGGCATTTAATCCGTAACTATCAATAAGGACAAATACATGTCTGTTGTCGTCTCAACAGAACACTGATGCCTTAAAAACGAGCATTTTACGCCATCGACTTACCTCATAGTCGAATTGGAGTTCAGCAAGATCAACAAACAGCTCCTCTTCGCCGTTTGCGAAAATTACCTCGTTAGCACCCGCGTACTGTTTACAGATCATAACGACGTGTTGAACCTTTGACAGCGATGGTATCACCTTTTTGGCCTATGGATAATTAGATTGGCCCCAGAGCATGAGTTCAGCCGTTAGTAGGACAAATTCGGCACGATCTCAAAATAATCGATGGAAGCTGTTCGTGTATTGGTACTAAAAATGTTATTTTTTTTCTTAGTATCTGTTACTTCGGCCAGCAAATAATTTACCTCTTTCCAGTCTCCATGTATACTTTCCAAGAGGGGCAACGCTACCCTTGGTGGAATATTCACGAAACGCTCTGATACAAATAACGCTACGCTGCCGGTCGATAGCGCCGTTTCAAGCTTCGATCGGATCGACTCATCCTAAATTAAAATAAAAACCATACCACACTGCAGAGATGGACTAGGTTGTACCTGGTAAGTGTTACATCCAAATTCGCTAGAAACTCCCTTTAAGCATCAATGGTTTAGGTTAACAGGCATTTTCACGGAAATTTTAAAGTTTCACCATTTCCCACGTTTCGTTCAAAACAAGCTATACAGTTATGTGAAATAAAAGGCAAAAACAAACTATACTCCATAAGTTAACAGCTGGTAGTTGATATTTACGGTTACAAAATAACTTCACTCCTATATAGACTACAAAACATCGCGTTAACAACATGCACGTTTCGTTACTCGTTTTTCTTTGTTTTTAACATCTCTGTATAGAACGTGCGCTAACCTTTCCACCAGTGGCTTTCTCAAGAAGATAGTTTTGAACACTCTTTGCACCTTCTCGATCGCTTCCAAGCGGAATCACCCCCGAAATTCCATATACGTCCCCGTCATCATCATCATCATCATCACTATCATCATCGTTCATATCCTGAGGGCACATATAGGTTAATTTTGTAAGTTTGTAACTAGTAACTGCGGCCAAAATCGATATCTCAGTGAAGCTTTAAAAAGTTCAACCCATATACCGGGAATTTATTCGTAGTAATCTTACTGAAATCAATAGCAAAGGGACGGCAACACGTTTGGCTGAAGCTGAAAAAAAACGGGCTAAATGTATCAGGTTTTTATTTCCGATACTGCCCTAGGTAGACATTACGGAAGACAACAAGTTCCTACCTGCACGAAACGAACCGTGTATCTATCTACGTTCAGTCTCGAACATAAGCCTGCTCGTACTGAACGTACGTTTGGTAGGCAGACACGTAGCCACCGCACCGTTGCGGGAATAAGGCTGCGAGGCCTAAAAGGTCGACTTAAGTGCTCGAAGATTCAACAAGCTATACCCGATAAGTCATATGCTAACTATCATTAATTTATTAACTAGCATTTAACTAAACATTCCCTGTGCCAGCATCACTGGATAGTTACCTGATCAGCTTGTCGAAGGATCACGGATAGTTTATTCAGCTCGATGAGGTGGTGCGCTAAATCTGACACGTTGACGTGGGCATTGCGAAACACCTGCACATAAGCCGTACCGTCTTAACACATTTAATAAAGCGCACGTAAGGGCTAGTTAATGTTTACAATGCCTTTTATAGCTGAACTTGAAATGGCAACTTCCACCTGTATAGCTAGAGAAACAAACGTCACAAAAAACTGGGAGCCTACGGAAGGTTAAGTGCAAGAAAAAATAGGGCTTAATAAATGCCAGCTTTTAACTAAGTAGCATGGCTTACAAAGAGAATAAGTAATAGACACATCTGTTTCAACGTATCGTCAATCGTATAAGCAGATAGTATCGGAATATAAGGGATTATAGCGCTCCAACCAGATCAGTTACGTCATTTGAACAACTACGGATTCTCTCACGACGAGGCACGCCACGTCAAGACGATTTCAACTTTCCTGCTGCAAGAGCTTCTTGATGCCGTGAAAGTCCGAATCGACGGGAGGAAACGCTTCGAAATCGATGTTAACCACGGTATTAATCAAATCGGTGCTCTCAGAAGTGTCATCGGCGTCTTCGGAGTTACCATGGCTACTATCATCTTCATCATCGTCGTCCATTACCTCTCCTGATGACAGCTCCTCGTCGTTTTCGGTTTCTTTTGATTACGAAGCGACAAGCATCACAACCAATTGATTAATATGTATATACATAATCACATAGACATTTTGATGAAATCCATAATATCAATGCTAGCTTCTATAAAATTATCGAATATGTAACTTAAGCCCAACTGCGTATTTTTAGTGGCATATTTTTAAATACCACTCAAATATGGCACAATTTCAATTGTAAGGTAACCCCCATCCCACATAATAATATCCCAATGACAATCTTAGTAGTTATTATACCATTTTGGTAGACAATATTAAAAAGGCTCGCAATAAGTAGCATTAACTTGTAGCACGATCGCAGACAGTCCTCAGCTACAATAGCGCTATCTTTTGGCGATGTTATTACGAAAGGTGATAAGTTAAAAGTTATTACTGGATAATCTGGCGAACGATGGCCAGTGAACTTTGATTACTGGATAATCAAGGTCATCGTGAATTATTCCACCCAAGTGGGATTAATAGTAAACACAGTAAAACTGAACCATACATAGTATAGTAACTAGTAAATGTAGAAGCTTTGTCACCGGATTGTGGCTGTTAACGCGACAAAACAATAGATATTTACGACTCGCAGATCTAGAACAAGTCGTCATCAATGCCATTTAGCCTTGAAAATTAAACAGAAACGATTCATTTGCGATCAGTCAGTAAAGAAAAAGAATCGTTTTCTTCTGTCCCGCACTAAAATCTACATAACTGCCCAGAACGCTGTCGAACAACGAGAAAATAAATGGTTCAACAAATAGCCAAGTGACTCACTCACCCAATGGGGTCGATTGGGCTTTACCATCACCCGCGACATCCCCAGCTTTTTTCGCCCGCTTCGGGTTGGCCATTTTTGCTGAACTTGTTGTTGTTGTGCTTGCAAAACAAAACTAATATGAAATACCTGATTTATATTTCACCTACAACTATCAATTTAACAAAGAAAATAAAGCGAAAAACTTAGCAAATTTCTATACGGAAAACTTCACATACGTCTGGCTATGTCTCTAAGAAAAAACAATTTCCTCTTGGTAGCTATGCCATTTATCGCTGTCGATCGATGATTCTTGTAAGTTGATCCAATGCGCATTTAAAAATCGACTGGAAAATCTAGAACGGAGAGGATCTAGATATGTAGACATACGTATAACTGCAACGAAATTGTGTTGTCCTATGTCGCACTCCGATGCAGTAGCGCGACAACCTTTGAGTTCAAATATTTTGACAGGGTGGAGATTAACTGAGAATTATAGAATTTTCTTCTACGGTCCATTCCTAATTCACAGACACGTTATTGCTGAATGCTCACACATGCATATATTATCATGCTTTCGTTCGGGTCAAATTTTGATGCGGTATCACTTAATCGCCGAGTACGGTTCGAACAGATACGGTTACTGCCGTTCTATTTTACGTCGTCATCATTAATGATTGATCCTTCCGGCCAGAATTACCTACCCGACTTTGTCACCAAGGCAAAGTTGAATTTGAAGAGCTACTCCGGCACAAGCTCGTCGAACATATACATTCGACAAAACGTTTCCGTCCAAACACAAAACAATTCACAATCGAACGGCGGGCGCCGCCAATGAGAGATGGACATGGCAGCAATCACGTGTGTTTGGGATCGCAAGAGCACTATCGATGTTTTCGACGACGATGCGGTGAGTAAGCGCCAAAGGGCTCCGGTATGTTCGACGATTTGAACGCAGTTGGCGCGCGCAGCCGGGCACTGCAGAAGTTAATTCTCGCCAAATCGACACTGCATCACATTAAAAAGACGGCAGGCTGATATAAATTAAAGGGAACTCGACAGACGACATTTGTACGCTACTGGTTAGACCGCTGTGTAGCGTAAGCTGGTTCTGAGATATGCCAATGGAACAAGTAGCAAAACCTAGCTTCACTGAATTTCCCAATAATTTTTGCAAACTATTCTGAGACGTCTACCTCAATTTTTTACGTAAACGTGCCTTCACAGCAAAAATCCCCAGTTGTTCTCGCCTATGTGTAGGAAAAAATAATAAATTTTTTCTCCGTCAGTAGCGAAGATGTTCCAACACTTTTTGATGAGATTAAGTTGATTATACACTAAACGTTGTTATTAGGCAAATTAAATGTCGTGATTTACTATTTCCGTCTATGTCGCAGCCTTTTGGGGGGGGGGGGGGGGGCATAGAGGCAAAGAACCAACACTTGCAAGTCCATCAACAGCAGATTTGTCTTTAATCTGGAAATATGTACAGGACCCATCCTCCGGAAAGTTGACTGTAACAACTGATTTTCATTGTTGCAAAAATTATAAGTGTGCCAATAATTTCGAGGCTCGGTCTTCCGTTCTCAGAATTACGTATTTTTAACTAGACACGCCATCGCTTACCGATTACGCGGTGTTTACAATGCCAAAAACTTTTTCTAAATTGTGCCAAGTGGATATGGATATGGAATAAATACTAAACTAGGTATCGTTTTCACACAAAAGTTACCTCTAGCTATACAATAGCTTAAATGTTTAAGTGATTTTGTATTGAGCAATTAGGCGTAACAACCTTGTGTTTTGACTTACAAATCGTGGCTTCTCACATAAACTTACTATTACCAATAGCCATGTTATTGGTTCGCGATCATCTATGAATGACTCAAGAATTAATAATGCAACAAACGATTCTTAGTGTGAGATTAACTGAGAATAGCCAAAAATCTGAAGATAATAGAAACAATTCTGCTTTTCAACATGTTCCAGAAAACTACTTAGAAACTCTTTGAAGCACTCCTAAGAAAATGCTAAAAATAAGACAATTCTCAAATTAATATTAGCGACACATGGAATCAGTAGCTCATAATAGACGTTCTACATTCTCAATGAAGAACGATACCTTGAAAACGTTTCAATGTATCGTTCTTCATACTATGATCTAACCCACCAGCCAACATATATATCATATTTAGCGTCACGTATCGCAGCAGTCTATTGAATACGATTATAGTTTCATCTTTCTTATGATTGACATGTGCTAGCATGACTCACAACTCTTCCGGATCGTCCCGATAACAGAATAAATGAAAAACGTCCCCTTAAATATATCTCGGTTGATACCTATGTTCCTCCTTCTGATTTGACGTAGTTTTTCATTCTGCTTACCATATAAAAATACTACTATATATTCAATCTCCACCTGAATTTTCTTATATTTTAATCCTGCTTCTTCTTTAACCATCTACCGCCAGCAAAGTGTACCACAAAAGCGAAATCTTTTGTCATTTCAAACACATCATCCTATTTTTGCGCAATAATTTCGGAATTAAGCTAACCTCAATGCTCCGCCTATTGCAGCGCCGCCGAGCGGTCGTCTAACAAAGCTGCCTTGTCAACATTCCAGCCGATCACTAGAATGCACCCGTGTTATGGGCTACTGGTATTTGCCAGTCACCCACAATATCCGACTGTCGCTATAGGTCGTTCTCATTGCCCAATGGCCCACCTATACCAAACTTAACATGGTGTTTGGTCTTCACGTTAAAGCCCATACATATAGGGTCCTCGTGAGAGCGTAAAATGTGCAGCATACAGTCTGTCTGAAGTAACACCGGCTTCAGTGCTAGACGCAAATAAGACGAAAAATGTAAAGGACCTGCATACGACAGCATTCAAATGTGGTCTCCCGCCAGTTTTAGCTTAGCTCGTTCTACGAGCTGTTCGCAATCTCATACCCGCTTAGTCTTGTTTGCCGACACTTATATTGGAGTATAGCTTAGAGACGTTTCTTCGCTGTGAGTACCGGCAAAGCTCGAAGACCAGAGCGTACCATGTTGCCAAAGGCGCGAAGGGTGGTAACTGGCTCGCGCGCAGCTTGAGTGTTGTTCTATTTTCGGAGGACAGAGAGGTTTGTGGCCTGAAGTCATCAATTGAAGTGAAGAGAACGAACTGTAACGTGGCATTATTTGTTTGAGGCATACCGGGGTATCGCTACTGCTAGTGTTGCTAATTAATTGTGTTTTCCAGTGTATCATTGCTCTAAGAACAGCGGTCCTGTTGTTTACGTGCCAGTTGAACACCGTTGTTATTTTCTTTTCGTAGTTTCTCTTTTATTTAGGATCAATCGGGATAAAGTCAGTTGTTGTCGCCTGGTACGGTTATTTGACAGCTCGTCGGCTGTCCTGCGACTGGTCACGGTGAAGGGGAAACATTTGGAAGTGGAGCGCCGTCAAGAACGAAGAGAAACAACACGCACAGATAGAAAAAGAATAAGAACCTGGTTAATACACAGTGGAAAAAAGAATACTTTGGTGGTGTAGTTTTGTGGACGTGCTAAGAATGACAACTGGGGTGGTTTACGTAAATTCTCGGAAAGTAATTTATAACCTATCTTAACTATATAGCTACCGACGGCACGAGTAAGCAGCTTTTGGTTGTGGGAACGACGTTGTGTGTTTAAAGAGGGTAGAGAGGATTGTAGATCTGTTATTTTTCAAAGAAAGGAAAGGGAATTCGAATTTGTTCGCTGTGAGAAAACAGACAGCAGAAAAAGCGCAATCTAAGCCCAAGTCGAAAAGACGGACACCAAAATGGGGGAAAGCGCGCATGAAGTGCGTTTGTATGTGTACGACCTGTCCCGAGGAATGGCTCGAGCGTTGAGCCCCATGTTTCTGGGTGAGTCTCGTTCATTTCTAATGATCGAACCCAACACATATAACCCACGATGCTAAATGGACCTAAAGTGTGTATGTATAGATCATCGATTTATTCGTTTTACTTATAATTTAATAAAGTACGTGTAGTAAATTTCATACTTTCTGAAACTCGCCCGTTTCTCTGTGTACAGACTTTTCCTGCTGCCCCAAAAGCGATCTCTGTTAACTATAGCTAGTTAATCGGCGTGTATGGTTCTGACTTATTAGAAGCCACCAATAAATATATATCTCACCATTAACTAAGTGCTGTGCATATTTCAGATATGAGGTTAACATGTTGAGATCATAAACCTTTTAAACATCATATAGTTACAATGTTAATTTTCACACTTATACAAACTATTGCCACCATTAGAAATAAAAACGATGGTGCTAATGAAATACACTTCACGTTAAAATAGACCTTTACTGAGGCTGGTAAAGACTTGTGGTATCCGATCTATTCTTCTGTAAACTCAGAAAAGGACTCCGATTATAATGAAATATGGCGCACGTTGATAAGGCCCTACAACTTGACGTTTAACGTTGTTATGCTGTAACAACGGAGTAACTTCCTACTGTCGCAGTTCACTTCAGTTTAAACATTACAGATTATTATTTTTTCAGTCAGTTATGCGCGAGGATCGCACTCTCTAAATCCTCATAGGTACTTCATCTTTCGTGCCAGTAACCGAGCGATTATTGGTGCGATCTTAATCATTTCCTTCTGCTCCCGCTCAATGACGAATCAGGCGCTGTTTCTGCTGTTCGCAGAGCAAAAAACAGAGACAATTTGCAAAAGACGATCGGGTCATACCGTATGGCGAATAAACATTAAGACAACTGCAATATTCAGCGACTAGATAGACAGGCAACTGTGGTATAGGATGGCTGTTCGGTACCGATGTGTTCATATTTCATAGTGTGCCCAGGGTGGAAGATTTGGCAAAGTGCAAAAAGATAGCTCTTTTGCAAAGAATTGTACAGAATGAAAATAAATATGTGAAGTTTTACCTCCGATACTCAAACTGTCAAAGAAACCGATGGCTTTTTTCAACCGAACCCTATGCCTACGCTCGGGTTCGAATTAAATACGTGATGGAAATGGGGAGGCTAATTTCTCGTACGAAAATACCAGAATATATATGCTTATCATGGTTGACTGTTGACGTATTTCATAAACGACGAATACTAACATATGCTAGTTTATTAAGATTTTAGAAAAACGTCACACATTAAAGTAGTTAAACTGTTTTAAAAAGCAAAAGTATCTCTAAGTATATATATATACATACTGAGTGGCAAAGTGAGGGGGGGGGGGCGGGACCTAAAAAACGTTCCCTTCTACAACAGATACTTTGCTAATTGAAGCAGGACGACATGCCAAGCAACGCTTAGCGTTAGAGCGGCATACTTAAAACTCATAATTGTTTACTTTGCTACGTGCTGTACTATCCCTATACTTGTAGATACCAAAAATACGCTGCTTGCGTCTTTTTTGCTTAGTGAACGTGCTTACGTCCGACAGTTGACTCCCGGGTTCAAACGTTCAAGCCAGGTACTAGAGAAGATTGTTTTATTCAGCCGGCTGGGCAAAAGGTAACCTTAGCAGCGATCATCATCAATTTTTCTTTTATGGGACCTGCCAACCCTTTTAGGTGATTACCGTTATGTATCGAAAACGGGTTATAGCACGTTTTTCCTCTGTGCGCCTACTAAGAAAACTTCTTTTTGATCTCGTCAGTGCCGTCGAATATGAAGTATTTGAGTCAACATTAGCGACCTGAACACTCTGGGCTTTAACTCTCTGACTGAGCCCGATTTCTGAACTAGGGTAGACAGACCCAAAAAGAGAGTAGCGCGAATAGACCATATACTGGAAGACGATCAGAGCGCTTTTCTTTCCCTGAGCGGTGAAATCTTGAACGATGAGCAAGCATTCAGTATCTCTTGTCTGTCGATACTGTTCGCGTTTTTCTATATGTAACAGACATGTGTATCATAGAGGCCCAGCTTGGGTTGTCTGCTATCCACATCGTGCCCAATTTCGTGCCATAGCTTGTTACCAAGTGATAAAAGTACTCCTACGGGCTGCCCGAGATGCCGGCCAATCGGCGCCGCCTAACAAACCAGAAACTATTCTTGAGACTTCGTGTGTCGTTCACGCCATCGCCGCAGCGGTTTTGTGCCTCCGTTTGTAGGCCCTCAATGGGGTGGAGGCGGTACAGGTTTCAGTGACAGTGGTGCGAAACACGGAAACGTGCCGTTAAGAGCCAGCGAAATTAAAATAGTTTCACTTTCCTTTTAAAGAGAGCGAAACTGCCCACATCTACGGTAATAACTGGAGAGGGAAAAGACACGCAAGGAGAAGAGGGCTGAAAGTAATAGCGAGAGGCACTCGGAAGGAAAATGTTTGGCCAGGATGAAAAAATAACAAAGTATTTATCATAGCTACAATGTATTATAATTGTAATAGGGGTGTCGAACGACGTGCGTATCGTATTCAGATGCTACTTTGCGTATGATCATATCCATAGTTGTACGTCAAAATGGACCTAAATATGAACGCTTTCCAACTGCAGCTTCATGCGTGTGTTGCTGCATGGCCTAGAACAAATACAGCCTTCCGTTGTCTGTTATACGGGTTGGGGTAAACGTCGCTTGACTGCTTGAAACCCGCTATCTTGCGTCTGCTCTAATAGCAGAAAAGGTAAATGTGCTAAAAATGACAGCAAAAAAAAGTGCAATGGAGATTCTTCAATATATCAAACGACATTTTTTAAACTGATTTTTACGCCGTCCTGTAGATCTATGTCTATCAGGAAGTTGATGCTTGAGCGTTGTTCTTTATTTTTTTCGGCTGAAAATCTAATTAGCTGTACAATTACTTTCAGAATATTTCCCTGATGGTAAGCAGTGACAGAGTGCAAGTCAACGACAGGTCGAAGTATTGGTTAGGAATGACGGTATATTGAGTGAATTGTAACCTTAAGAAGTAATACATTTGCAGTGACGCTATCGGCTTTTATCAGTAAACCGCGTGATCGCAAACTACCAACGGCCGCGCTTCAAATTTACCCAGTAAACTTTAATCCTATTATTAGATATTCTTTATATATATATATATATATATATATATAAAGACGTTCATAGAAAATGTGTCCGTCCGTAAAGGCGTACACCCTTATGCTTACTTGCAATTTCTGCAAGCGAACTGTTGCTAACCTGTGTGTGAAACAATTGTGTATAAGTTTTCCTATTGAAGGCTATATAGTTATAGATAAGATACTTTGGCGTTTTTAGCTTACCTATTTTGTACTGTTGAGAAAGGACTCCGTGAAGCTATCCGCTCAAATATGCTAATCGTCTATTGAATATAAACCACGACTCATTACTCTGGGCTGTGCACCATTGTAGACAGTTGTCTAGCATAGGTGCCATTTGTCGTTGAACTCTAATAATAAAAGAGATTTTAGGGCCTAAACGATTTCGGCATGGTGAATTTCTATAGTACGGTGACCTAACGTTTTCACTAGGCCACTACGGCCGATAGTTAAATATCAAATAAATTAGTAACGATGGCCGAGCTCACTATAGAGAAAAACCGACGCTATTCAAGCCCACAGTAACCACGTATTTACCAGTACTTGGGCTGCCGAATTCTCGAACATTCTAAACCGTTAACTACAGTTCATTAAGTACCCATGAGACGTGAGTAGCAAAATTTTACTGCTCGTACATTCGTTGTTAAACATATATAATTGTTGACTTCGGCATAACAACGATCATGCGATCCTTTAAAAATTGTGAATTAGTGCGTGATGGTTCGCTGACCTCGTAGGATCTATGAGGCGCAAGTTATAGGCATCGATGGCATGAGCTAAAAACAATGATGGCGAGACTCACAAACTTGTTAGGTCAGCTACGCTATGCTACGCTGTTGAAAGTAATTAAAAATCTAGTAATCGAATATCTTGCGAAAAACTTGCGAGTTGTCATCTAAAGAAATACATGAAGAAAAGGATGGTCATTTTAAATCCTACGGTAGTTATTTCTGATTTTTTTACGTTCAGGCTCAGGTTGTCAATTATCCCATGGGTTACATAGTAAAAGTTTATTATTGATTACTGGCTGTCGGCATGGTTGGGCTTTGGTGAAGTCCCAATTGAAGCTTCAAGCGAAAACTGTCGAAGGATAAATTATTTACTGATGAATTGTTTACTATGCGTTGTAGTATGTGATGAGCCTTGATCGACCTTGTTAACGACCAGTGATGACCAGTGACTCCGTTGTGCCTTGATTCTCTTTTAGGAAAGGAAATTCCTGCGATATGGCACACCTCGATCGTCGCTTTCGGCCGGTTAGTACTGTGTTCGTACTCGACACGATGGAGAGATGCTAGTTAAAATAACAAACTATATGTGGTTTTGGCAAACAACTGTACGCAATAGATACCCAGTAATCTTTTTGAATAACGAGACTATCTTCTATAAACAGCATGGAGTTAGACGAGACTCTAAATGTTGTGAATTTAGCGCATCCCTCTCTTCGTCGCTTTTCTATGTCCAGCGCATTTTACCCCGAACATTCGCCGTACTTCATACTTATTCATGTCGTGTTGTGCCGTTTTGCATACAGGGAATATTTTTTCGGGGGCATGGGCATCGAATCATGCGGTCCAGGAGAGACAGTTATGGGGGAGCCGATGCAGATCGTGCAACTGGGGCAAACTGAAATACCGTATGCCCTATTCCTCGAGTACATCTTCGAGCTGGGTGAAAGCTCTTTTAAGGTGAGCAATTTCTGTCCGAACCATCGAATGTAGGCAAAAAAGACGCAACGCTAAGTCTATACAGGCAATTTGCCAAAGAACAATGAAGATTTCTAAATTTGAAAGGTCTTCCGGTATAATGGCTTAAGCGATTTTTTCAATGTCATTCATAGCTTCTAATAGAGCCTTTTTGGGCTGACACTTTTTGTCATTGTTTAAAATAAGTAACAGTATAAAAATATATCCATCTTTTAATACGTGGAGAACTAAAATGAAATGAGGACCGTAAATGGAATCAAGTCCCCTCATCAGTGTATTGTACTGTTTATACGGTTACCCCCAGTGAATTCTCCCAGAAGTCGAAACCAGATTTTTCAAGTAAACCACGCGTGCGACGTAATCAGCATAATTTAATCTTCGCAGTTGAATAGGGGTCGGGCGAAATACGACTGGAACTAAAAAGTATACGACTTTTTTATCCGGGTGCTTTCGTTAAACCTGTCAGGCGATTGGCTCATACTGTTTTGCTCTATCTAAAGGTGTCTGTTTGCTTCCTTTTACCTTGATCATTTACAGGAGAGTGCATACGACCTATTCAGGCACAACTGCAACACGTTTACACAGGAGGTAGCGCAATTCTTGACAGGAAGAAGTATCCCCCAAGAAATACTTGACTTACCAGAAGAAATCCTCGATACGTAAGCATGGCTATTATGAGCACGTATCCTCATTTCATATAGCTAATAGCTAGATATTTCGTTGTTCATTATTTATCATGGTCCTATTATATAATGCTATCGGCAGAATCATGTCACCACTTGTTTATTCTGTAATAATTATCAGATGTTTAACGTACTTCGTTGAATTCAGAACTTGAAGGTTATAACAAACCGCTGGTTTGTTACGACCTTCAAGTTCTGAACAGCGGTTTGTTAACGGTTTTCGTTAGTGCTCGTAGTTGGTTTTCTACATCACGGTTATATTTTTACCCTACGTATTCAGTTCGAGTATGCATTATTATTAACGTAAGCGACCGTCTGCAGAAGCTGAAAACATCTGTATCAAGCTTCTGATACAACTGCAAGGCAAAAGACAAGCACAGGTTTCATAGATTATTAATTATTTCTGTTTTAAAATATTTTATTTGCTATAGCTGTTATACCTACAACCTAGGCTTCCCTCAAGTTTCTACTTCGTGTGCGGAACTAAATTCCAATGAGTTTTATAGTGACGTGAATTTCTTTAGGAAACGTTCATCGAAAGGCAGTACCGGAAATCCCAGCTTGTGTGCGCACTTTAAGCCCGATAATGGTGTTTAGAGAAACATTAGAGGAACGCGTGACTGCTGTTTATTGCTTAGCAAAACTGGTCGCACCATTGCCCACTGGGGTCAAATCGGTTGTTGCGCCTAGCCGATTTAGAATCCGATAAAGATGGAAATTTCCGTCTCAGCCGCCTGTAATGTATTGTTCCTTAACCTGAGACCCCTCGAGAAACCGTTTTTTTGAAATGCGAACAACATAAATCTGTGTATGCATAAAAAGGCTTAGAAAGAAGTTAGTCAATATGGTTACAAATAAAAAAAAAATGTAGACTTAAACTCAAGTATAGTTGCGCGTATTTCTAATAGCTGACCTTATTAAGGCGCTATAAACGTATCTTGTAAGAATTTCCTGAACACATGTTAGTAAAGCAAATAGCTAGCGTAGCCTTCTCAAGAAGACTAATTATGGTGAAGAAGCAAACAGTAACAAAAATGTATATGGGCAGAACCTTTGTTGATCAGCTTGAAAAGAACTGATAAATGTCCCAAGTCGTACATTCGGTACTGCTGGCGTTAAACATCGACTTAGACAGCTGACAATACTCAACACGAGATGCACTGTAGCTGATTTTGAAGGTTGAGCTATTTTAGAAGGTGTGGGCCAGCTAAGCTGATCGGGCGGACACGTTACTGGGGCGTTACCTCGGTAATAGTCTGCTATGAACTTCGAGTTAGAATTGTATAGTACTATAAATAGTTGTGTTTCATAGAAGAGGCGTCATAGAGCCGAAGAGTTAAGCAGAAAGGGGGCTTTTATTACTGAACGTCATAACCATGCCATTCTCGGGGCAATTAGTAAGTGAATTATATATGCAAAAACTATAGAAACAGCTCATATTCAAATTCACGTACAACTCGATTCAATCAAGAAATTATGGATTTGTCAACTAGCGAATCCAAGCATTTGCTTAAAAAATAAGTTCTCAGACAATCTGATCGGCTTGCGAATGCTTCAGATGTAGTCCGCTTCTTGGAAAGGCTACACACAAGGCCCCGACTAGCGTATTGCACCCGTGTGCGTAAACACGTGATAATTTAAAACTCATGAAGTATCTTTTGGCAGATAGTAGGTGCTTTAAGCTTAGACTAACGTTTAGTGGGTCATCGTGCCTCCAGAGGCCGGTTCGCTCATCCTATTGACATCGTGCAACAGACGCGAGTGAGGCGGTATGAGCTACCGGCCAACGTTGATGAAGTCTGACAGAATCGGCTTTAGAATGACAGTTTAATCTCGTTGGCTGACTCATTTATAGAAGAAAAAATAAAATAATGGAAGAAGGAAAAACAAGGAGAATAGTGTTGTTTTTAGCCAATAAAAACTAAATAGGAAAAAAAAAAATAGGAGACTTGAACCAACTTACGAGGTGATTGGAGTCTGTAACTAGAAGCAGTGATCGTAGGTACTATGCCTACCAATCACCGAATGAAGCCTCGTTGATTTCCAGCCAAGAACAGCTTTAATTTCGAATAATAGTCTCCAATCACGGAGCCTGACAAATTGTTTTCTGAGTGAATTGTATTGGGACACAGTTTATCATCAATTCGGTTCGAAACATTCAGAATGTGTGATAAAGCTTACACTGCAGAGACCCGAGCAAGGTTTCGGTATTACGAGAGTTTCTATATAGCAGTATACGCAAGACTGCTTCTATGCGCTGTATTTCTTTTATTGTAGAGGTTTTTACGGAACATGAAAGTTGTTTTATACAGTCGATTTAATAAAGCCTATATCTTCACAGTGCACTTCATTGTGTTGCGACATGAATCATATATTTATGGTATAACAACAAACAAATATTGCTAAGACGCAGTTACTGAATCCCATATATGCTTGAAATTTAATTACGGAAATTTCTAAGATGATTTAGGCTTGTGCAGATCTTGTGTGCACAGCGATCTTCCGATCGCCTCCGAATGTAATGATGTGATTAGAACCTTGTTCTACTTTGCGTATGACACTAATTTTTTTAACTAATGCCCGCAAACGCACAAGGTTACATTAAATCAGCCTTGTCGTTTTTTAGAATGAAAATGGGCTCATGCTGGAAAATTAAAACCATCTTTGAAAAATTTCTCTCTATGTTATCTGCACACACTATTTTACGTACCGATGAAAAACCAAATATGGCAAATTTCGTAACAAGTCATATTTGAGGCATGAATATGGCCGACGGCAAACCATATCAACTTAAAATGAAATTGAAAAAACATATTGGCCATAGCGTCAAATCTTCGTATGAGCTCATGTCACAAAATTAAACTGATCAGCAAAAAAAAAGCACTGATAGCGAATTAGTGCATGTCAGATTCCGTAGGTCTGGTCGTTGGTTAACCGAAACATCCTGTTCGAAATCATCGTCCTATTGGTGAAAAATATGCACCCAGTCTCCCCGTCTTTGTACCTTAGAGAATCTCATGGTATGCCAAAACCGGTACTGAAACAAATCCCATAAAAATATGCGTGACAAGCCAGGGTTATCACGTCAGTTTCGAGCGTAATTTTACTTCTCTGGTAAACTCGGCTGAGCAGTGTACATCTCTCCGACTACGGTCTTTCTTTTGGCAGAAGCTTGTGTGTGGGAAGCGATAACAATGCAGATGCAAAGATATCCTCCTATATACTCCTGAGTCTTATTAGGGCTTAGGGAATTCAACTTAAGAGTTCAGAGGAATAAGCACACATAAGATGATGATCATACCTTAGATCAATCTGAGGAGGCACCTCAACGATTAGGCGACTTCCAGTTAAACCTCTTGTTAGCGCTTTGACGTACCTAATTCAGAAAATTTTTCTAACACTTAATTAAGATTGATTTCTGGCGCGGATCACCTTGACCTATCTTTCATAGATTAATAATTTCGAAATGTATTTAAATATAGAACGCTTAAATTTTTTTGTTTCCTATTGGCTCGTTGACAGGCTCCAGAGCCTTAGCTATTTCTTTGTTTTTTTAGCTAATAGGGCTTGTATAGGCATGAGGGGATAGGTTTGCCCACAGCCACTCGCCTACAGAGCCACCTATTGCGACAATCCACTATACTATCATATTATTAGAAGTCTGGACTAGCGGGCTTGTCCGACCCAAAACGTCGAGTGCAGGGGGTTCGGCTGTTTTTTTTTTCGGAGCTTTTCCATCTGTTCCAGTCTGAGAAGAGCTTAAGCTGTGCAGAAAATGTAGCCCATATAAAACAAACTTAATTTTTTCATATAGAATGTACAAGTTCAGTTGCATAGCTTTCAGCATTAGAGGAGAGCAACATTAATTTTTCTTCAATTAGCATTTCAGACTTGACGACGCTGGTTGGCATGCCTTTACCTCTACCGCAAATGATAGGTTAGACTTAGTTAGAGTCACTGCTAAAGGAACTCGGGAAGCTCTTCCGATGACTCGTTCCTCAGGCAGTTACCAGTAAAGATGAGAGTTTGCTTAACTGGTCTAGCGAGTTAACCGTTCAGGGCGCACTCTCCATGGCAGCTTTTTGTTGCCATTAGTGTGCGTTCGTTCCGCCGTTGTTGTCACTACTTTTAGACAACGGAGACAGTCGGGTCTATCGCGGTAACCGCAGCCTCTGCTGCAGAGGCTTAGTGCCATTGGTTTTGGCTTGTCAGCCTTCGCCTTTCTCTGCTTATCGCTGTTTTCGTCTTCTGGTATCGTGGGCCATTGACCACGGGCATATAACCTTCAGCTTTGATGCTATCTGTTGGGACTGCTGTTGTTGGGCTAGAGAATTTAAGACCTTTGAGTGTTTCGGTTGGGTCGATAGTCGGAGGGCCAGCCAGCCGGCCAGCCAGCCAGCCAGCCAGCCAGCCACCCTCAAAGCAAGATTGGAAACCAAGAAACAACTACTTCTCCGGCCACAGTTAACCGCTACAGATACGCTAGCAACAAGAGACGATTGTTCTTCATTGGTAGTTGCTGTCTATCGTTCGATGTGTTCACGATTTTCCAGTACAAATAACAGCCGTTCGAAGTTCGTTTGCGAAAACGCTCGTGCAACAAACGTTCGAGTTTACGTATTGTCAAGTCGACTGCTGTGGTAGGTTTGCGTTCAGTCTCGAGATATATTGTTTTAATTTGATGGCTATGCGTCACTGATGCCACGAAAACGAACCGAATCTATTGCACCCGAGTATATTCCAACGCTTAATGTTAAAATGAATATTTGCATAAGTGGAGAAGTTACAAAACGGTGTTCGATGTCATCATATAGATGATATCAATCGCATGCGTTCGGCGAAACAGCGGAAAAAAAAATATCAGTCGGTTTGAATCTGCCGGTGACATGGCCGATCTGTCTAGGATTCATACCTACATTCTTCATTCATTGATATGAGAAGTGCAAAGCTGTTTGGGCGACTGTAGATGGGCCTCTAGGGGAAGCCTGGTCCCTTTCATTGTCGATTAGAGGATGATCATCGTAAGACTAAATGAGATTAATCCATAATCTTTAATTTAGTTATTTATAACCGAATACATGGAACATGATTTAAGTTAGAATAATAGGTTGCTGCTGATTATGGAAGTAATGAAGTTTTGTAACCTTCATATAAGCCGTTATGGTCAGCTTATATGTGCCTATAGAGCGTACGGGCTTTGAACATATTTGTAGATAGACATAGAGGTTTTTCTACGGCAGGTCATTTTGTTTGCATTTAGCTCTTGATAATAAACCTTATAACGTTCCTTAGACCGTTCGGTGCCCAAATCGGGCGGCTCCTTGGCTCGCAGACATCTCTACGAAGTGAAAACGCTCGGGGGATATCGTTCGGAGAAAACGCCAGGATCAATTTAGAAAACCGTGTCATCCAGGAATTTCAAGCGGCACCTGGGTTAGACGACACTCGGACGTCGCTACCACAGCAAACAGAGAGTCCGCTAATTCGAAACGGAAGCACAGGCGTACAGGGAGCAAACCAACAGTCTTCGGACAGTAATTGTGTATCGCAGGTTAGCACAAAAAAGGAAAACTTTTCATTATTGCACTAGGAATTCAAAAAATAACGATGAGATGAGATACTGGTCACCAGCTGACTTAATTTTAGGATTCAATCATCTCTTTGTGCGTATGATATCTCGAGAATAGGCACACAAAGGGCTCAAATCATATACATATATGATTTGAGCCCTTAGTGTTAAAAGAATATTTCTGAATGATATTAACAATAATAACAGTGTTTTTTGTGGCTATTATAGTCTGCTCGTGGTTAGTCGAATAACTGCCAGACATAAGATAACAATGTAGACTTTACATTTAAGAAAATCAGGGTTATATAATAGTTATATTAAGATCGTTCGTTTAATAATTTTTATCGTGCAGGCACGTACGCGTGCTTTTGTCTACCGTATGCTAGACATGTTCGAACTCGAAAACAGCCACAAATTTAATGACTATAACCTTTGATGAACTATAAATTGACAGATGGGAGACATCGTCGAGAATCCGAGTCGCGCCAGCGAATCGCCAGAGCGGCGACCTTCGCTCACGCCTCGCAAGACAAGAAAGTTCGACGATCCGGCAATATGTTTTGAACCTATTGACGTACGTGACGAAAGATGACGATATACTTCGTGTGTCATTCGAATCAGAGTAAAGAAATAGGGACGATTTTATGGACTCATTTGTATAGTTAATAATGTGTTTGTCAGCAAACATCTCATAGCCCGTGAATGCCAACAAGGTACTCAGTACAGAATTCCTCCAAGAGACATTCCTTTGAATAAAATATTTGGAGAATAAATAAAAAAGCGTAATAATAAAAAAAACTTGAAAGAATAATTTTAGCTAAAATCACAGTTATGGTACTCCTTGAATCTACTTAAAACACATCTATTCAACGTTGAGATTTTTAACTGCTAGAGTTCTGCGGCGTATGCATTTTAGGGGACGTCCGCCCTACAAGTTGTTGAGGAACGACTGCTGGGAAAGTTGTCTGAAGAAGATGCGGTATGCTTTCGGGAGTTCGCTGAGTATATCAACACAGACTGCGGCAGCTGGTCTCTAGGAGAACTCCATCTCTACCTTCTTGGTATGTGCCCTCACTTGTAAAGTTATGAGCATTTTAACTTTGATTTTCACTAAGTCGGTAAGTTCTCAGAAGTTCGGTAAGTAAACAATCGCACACGAAATTCTCCCCACTAATTTCTTTATAACCAAAGTAGTTCAGATTAATTATGGTAAACAAAGATGAAACGAAAAGTCTGGATTTTTCTTATTATCGACAGGCTTCCTGCTTGGCGACTCTCAAGAACCAAAAATTCGGTTGGCCACAATTCAGTTTTTGGCGGCGTGCGCACTGAAGGACGATTTCATACTTTTTTTGCATCAGGACAGGAAGGTATTAAAGACTTACTTGATATAGTTCACAGGTGTTGCCCATATGTTCGTAAGTGTGACGAAATTTTCTCACTTATGAGCGGGTTTTCAAAATCTGTAAACTAATCATTGTATAAGTGTCATTACTGATAGGTAACAAATGATATTTCAAGATCCTCAACCTTCCCAACCAATCCGTCAACCTTCTGATTTCCGTATGTTATGTGTGTGTGTGTGTATCTGTGCATTCTGTCATCTGACATTTCACAGAGCCATGTAATCCTGAATTATGTCTATAAAATTGAGCGTTTGCCAGCAGATGAACAAGATGCTGTTATGATCTTAGTAAGTATTTCCATTGCGTCACGTTGGAACTGACTACTATATTCATTTGAACGCTGATCTCGTTTTTAATTACTGTCTCTATGTAGGCTTCCATCCTTCCATTGTTTTAATAGGGTTTATTTCCATTATTTCATGTGTAGCGGCCCGGATCTTCATACATGAATACAATACGCCAATTGTGGCATGCGCTACCAGACCATTAGAGTTAAATAAAAGTCCTTAATATTGAGCAGGCTTGCCTTTGGCCGTTATTGCCGCATCATTTAATTACATATTTATTTATTTACAGATGTGTAACTTTTGTAAGAACAACTCGTCCTTCGATTGGCTCATGTACATCTCCGAGTGGCCGTCTGATGATGGGACTCCGGGTGCCTGCAACAACTGCAAGGTAAAAATATACGTGTCTTAAGTTTGTCCATACACCAGGTCAGATTGCAAGTACTCTATATATATATATATATATATATATATATATATATATATATATATATATATACCCATTCCAGCTTTGTGCAACGCATTTTTCCAGCGAAGCCCGATTATTATATATCGTTCAGCATTACCCTTTACAGGTAACGACGCGGGCTGTTGTACATGCATTGTTATGCAACCGGAAAGAAACTCAAGAGAAAGCGGCCGCGCTCATGTATAATCTCGCTCTTAAAGAGGTAAGCGGGGGCGTGCCGTCGCCCATTACCTCGATACGTTGGCAAGGAGTTTATAGCCAGTAACTTTATATGGAATCGTCCGTCCGATACAGTCCGAGTTAAGCATTGCCTCGGACGGCTGATGATTCCTTTTAGCACAAAACAAAAAATGCTAGCAGCCTGACGAGAGAACACTGTGAAGAAAATCGGTTTTATGCTGAACAAATTTTTAATCCTTTCTAATATGCTTAAATGTTAATTTGGCGGTTTCACACCGGCCGTCTTAACGACAATTAGAAATCTCATAGAATATTTAAATGTAGAGGTGTCTTAGTTGTCCGAGCGGGTACGCGAACGGATCATGACAGGAAATAGGGAATGGTAAGTACGCAACCCTTGTTGGCTGCCGAGAGTTTTGTATTTATTCGCCTTTGTAAAGCAAAAGAAAGATTTAAGATCAAATTATGTGTTGGGGATGTGTGAAGGTTGAAATTAGCGAAAAAAAAGTGTTCACGGTGTTCAGCTACTTTTTGCAACTATTATGTCCCTGTGAGCAGGCGTTGTCCTAGGCCATAATAGACAGGCGTCGTTATGAGCTTTCTTTCCTTTTTTCAGCTTTATGACGATCAAGCAACGGAGTTCGCGACAGCCCTCCTGCAGTATCTTCATTCCGAGCTTAGCGAAGAGGCCTCTTGGAGAGCACTGGTGGCGCTATTTCGCTTTTGTCAGATAAGTTATAATGATGTAAGTTTGATCCTCATTAAAATTATCATAAAATAGCTGTTGCCTAATGCTGTAATTCCGTGTCAGATGTGACTCTGATGCGCCGTAAAAAAAATTGCAGATATGTGGAAACAAGTAGGAAGTTTAACTGCAACCCATTATGCGGCCAAAATCAAATACAAAGGTACACAATTTAATCGGAACGAATTACGTTGTTAGTTTGATATTTGTTTATATATTTTTCGTCGAGATTACAAAAAAACTAAGAAATCAACTAAATAACAATATAAATTAGAGCAATAATAGGACAGTAAATGAATTGGGCATGTGCGCTGGATCAAAACTACAAATTTTATAGGTAAATGAATTGGTGTAAAACAGCGAATATTTACCTAGAATGTATATATGGAGCCTAGAGTCATAGTCAAATTGAAATCTAGATTTTTATCTGGTTAAATTGACTGCATAGACCACCAGAGCTTCTGTTCATAGATTGTAAAGCTGTTAATTTTTGGCAAAATAACTAAAATATAGAAAAATAGACAACTGTGTACACGTTTTACGCTAACTCTAATACAATTGGATTTTGAAATCTTCTAATTTCGCAACAACATTTCAAATCCCTTTGACTGTGGCGATAGCAAATCGATTTCATTAGTATTTCAAATAATAATAATAATAATAAAAGCCTTCTAGATAAAAGATGATATCTCTTTTATAGCCATTTAATAGTTCCTATATATGTTAATGTCAATATAGCGCTTGTAAATCTTCCACTGAACAGATATCCCAAATATAAAATACGTTTTCCTCATTCAAAAGAAAGCGGACTTACAGAAAAAGAGTTTTTACTAAAAAATAGATTGCTCAGTTACTTAAAGGAGTATAAGAAACGATTTCAAAGTATTTCTTACGAAGTCTGCCGGTGATACAAAAACTTTTTACGAAGAAACGTAAGTTTTCGAGCGAATATCCATCCATTAGTTCTACGTCCATTCGTAGCTGCGTGTTTTTAAAAACTCTTTTTAGAGCCTATTAAAAGGATGATTATGAAATTCCTACATGCTTACTCCTAATCAGTACTACACTATTACCCACAGAGCTCACCTCGGGCATCGGGCAGATAGGCTTACGAGGGGTAATATATGAATATCTTCTTCAGACCTAAGTTACGTGAAACATAACATATTTATTAAGAGAATCATAATTTGGCTAAATTGTGGTGCTTCACTGTTGAAAAATATACTGCAAGGCCAATGCCGGATGTTGTTGGTTGTTCTGCTGAGTTGCAGGTGCCTGCGTTATGTAACATGCTCGGTCCAGATCTGAACAAATTCTCCGGCATGTCGAAAAGAGTGGACTCGGCCCTCAAGGATCTTCAGGATAAGATCTCTAGCGCGGACGGTGAAATTGTGTCATAATTCGAATGAATTGTCCTGCAGTTAAGTAGAGTACTACTGTCCGTCTTTCTTGATTACGTAGTTGGTTACCAAGCCAAATCAGGGAAAGACATTTCCACATAATTTCTGGAAGCGCCCGTATTTTTATGAATTGTGTGCCAGCGTATTAAGAACAGTCTTGTCATCAATAAACTTAAGCACTAACAGCTGTTCATTTAGACGAACGCTTTGTCATTGTTTTAGTGGTTTCTTTAAGCAGCCTTCCGGCATCTGCAATATCGATTCACGGAACCCGCATTCGTTTGGCAATCGGCTATCTTGAATGATTTTGGTGATCTGTCTTATCAGTCTTTTGCTAACTGTCAAACGCGTGTTCCATCGAAGCGGAATAGACCGGTTTTTCAGTACTTTAATTAATGTCGATAGTTAAACCGAGGTCGATTGGAGAACGACACCCTGCCGTAAAAGTTCTTCTGGGATCATCTCAAAATTTATAGACAGCTGGATTTTCAGCAGATCTTCTGTTTGTGTTCGGTAGTGTGCTTATAATTAAAGTCAGCACCATCGTTGCCGCCGTAATTGAACATGTTCCAATGGTACCTGTAAAATAAATGCAGCATCTATGTTAACCTGCAGCACAAATCTGCTTACGCGAGGCGGATGAGCTACCCGAATTCGAAACTACCCGTGACTTGATAATTGTATGTTCCGATGTTTACTAAGTTGTCGTGAATGAAACGAAAAGCTACTCGAACTGTACGAACGGAGATTTTACTCACTCAGGTGGTCGAGTAACCGTTAAATAGTGGCAATGGCAAAATTCATTTTTAAAAAAAAGCTACAATTGTTCATATCTTATAAAAATTTGAATTTATAAAGTCAGAATTAATTGTCAAGAGGTAATACAATGTATCTATTCACCCACATAATTATAACGGGCAACATTTTATATGACATTTTTTTCTAAATAGAATCGACATCGAACGTAACACAGTTTCAACAATGCTGAACAATTATTATTATCATTAATGGAGAATGGCCTATTAATGTTGATTAGATCTGTTGAAGCCTTAAGGCGTAACGCCCTAAGAGGTAAACTTTCAACATTGTTTGTGCTCGCATTCATCGTACTAGAGAGTCATGTTGAAATAAAGAAATATTGTTAAATAAAGTGAACTAAGATGATCGATGAGCGTCGCCTATGTTTTCAGCACGTGTAGTCGTTTTTACTCTCCTCGCCTGGCGTACATTTCGTTGACGAACGAGGATTACTGGAAACATCGTGCGATCAAATCGTTTATACGACTAGAGGTAGCCGTGGCTTGAAAAACATGGATAACCAGCATGGCATCTTTATCTATCTATCTATCGGTCGTAAAAATACGTATCACAATTGTCTTGCTTTTTCTAATTAAACTGTTGCATCGTATGGCACAGTAGTGGCTGTGGGGCACTAGTTCAACAATGTGATCATTGAGAGCAATTATATATGTCGTCATGGAAACTCACTGGGATAGTAGACGTGGTCCTGGGCACAAGGTTGAGGCACAATTAGCTAGCATTAATATGCACGGGCATTTTTCTCTTTCATTAGACACTATTGCAAATAGATAGCTGCCAGCGAGCATAAACCCATAGTCGCCGTCTAGACTGAGGCTTTGATTCGATCCTAATCTTTAACCAATACTACCTATATGAACGCTACCCAGCGATTTTTGAGGACATGCCATACTCTCAATTTGCATTTGCTAGTCGTTTGTCGAGAACTTTCAGAATCGTATAGACGAAGCCAATAGCGTAACTTGCTTTCACAAAAGAAAGAATGAATTCGGATATAAATAGTCGATTTAGCTGCTAAAAACACTTATGAACATGATATATTGGTCGAATACTGTATACTTTTATTTGTACATTTTTTCAGGTCTCCTGGTATTTTCTAACCTTAGGAGTTTTCGTCTAAATTATATTGTTCTGATTCAATTGATGGTTGATCCTTACAAGCTCTACTCTCATTGCAATTTACAGGAAGCGAAATTACACGAAACAATATTTGTCATAGACACCTATTGAACCTCAGCTTTCTCTTCCTAGTAATTATTCTAGTATTCCTAATCCTTAGTGTTCGCTTTGTTGGTCCTTTTGATTTGTTTGGATAAGGACTTCCTGAGAAGTCCTATATCTTTATTCGTGTCTCGCGACCTTCCTCAAGCGTTTCCATATTACATTGCAATTATGTAAACCTTTTCGAAAATAATCTTCAGAAACATTACTATAACGCCAACATGTAATTTTGCTATCGAAATGAACGTTACGCAGCGTATATTATGGCCGATGAGACTCGGGACAAATGCAGCGGAACTTCTATGACGAAGCAACATTCAGAGCGCAGCCATAAGCGTACATTTCCGTCCAAATGTTTCAGATAATCTTCCATATACAACTACAAACCTAATAAATAAACCTGTCGTCATGAAATTATGCATAGCATGTAGGCAAGGCTTGCCGCGATCCAGTCCCCACTGATTGTCAGGTCAGGAATACATTTGTACATGAGGCATCTCCTAAGCCTTGCTTTGGCGTTTGCCAGAAGCGGGATCCCATACATTTGCAGCAAAGGTTCGCATCAGTCTATTACATAGTTCATGCAGTAAGATACGGTCAGCGCGAAAAGCTCTAGGCAAGGAAGAGACTATGTATGGCTAGCACGTAAAAACGTTGTCTGATTACTTGACCTATGTCGGAAACAAGCTTTTACGTATAGGTATGTCAATGTCTTCTATGTTAGGTCGTTTTCAAATGATTGTAATTCAAGATTAGCTGAAAAAGGGAAAACAAAGCCACGTCACTCTATTATTACTCGGGCGACAGGCTGTTAGCCCGTCGAACTTATATAGTTAAAGCAATCTTATTTCTTCAATTAAAAAGAAGCATCAAAAAACACTATAGAGAACAACTAAAATCGCCTTAATAGAGGTTTAATTTGATGTTTTTTTTGCTAAATTTTATTGTGACTCGTTAAAAAACCCGTCGATCCCTTTAGGCGGCGGTCATCGATGCGGCTTCATGGCATTGATTGCGTCGACATTTGTGAAAGGTTTCTGGCAACGTATAAATGCCACCAATAGCCAAAACTGCCAATATCATGAACACCAAATTTGGTACGCTTATGAAACGAACTTATATGCAAATTCCTAACCGGACTTCATCAACAACTTTCTACACAAAAGCATTCCCCACTGAAAAACCACTCGCATAATAAAACGTTGCATCGCCGACAGCTTTCAGGCATGCCACACATGAAAGGGCACTTACCTCATTAGTATAGATGCCGTTGTTGAAGGTTCACCTCCGTGTACAAGGCGAGGTTTGGCCGGGATCTCTAATGCCCAATTTCTCGCTCCGTTTGCACATAAGACGTTCATTTTGCTTCGCTTTGGTGTCCGGTAGATATGATGTCTCTTGCTTCTTCTACCAGTCAATCAAAATGCTTCAGTTTGGTGGGCTACGGCTGTGGGGGGCCAGACACTGCCATTAAGGGCACGCCAAAAAGTACTTGATCGCTAGAGGCTACTATTGTCATCGAAAGTTCAAGCTTTTGTCAATTAACATTTTTAATTGCTTATAGAACTGTCCAGCAAGCTTCTACAGTAAAAATCAAGCAGAAGGTTCGATTTGCTTAAATTAGCTGCCTTTTTCTAATTAAAAAAAAAAATTTATGATACATTAATTCATAAAGCGGTATCTTTTATTCGTTTAGATTTGTTCATTGTCCAATAGCATCTAAAATCGCCTACAAAAACAGCTGTCATTATTCCGAAAGTGGACAACTAAATAAAAAAATATCCGTATTTAAAAAATCATTAACATTCAGCGCTACAGCTAAAATATATATGTGGGTTAACTCATAGACTTCGAGTAAGTTCGGGAGGTGACCTAAGGTTTACAGGGTTGTAAAGGGTGTCAAAGATAGTTCTCGATATAATCAATCAATTTCGTGAGCACATTTTGCTTAAAAGCATTTGGAGACCTTCCGGTCCCCTATGCCACTTGACAAAAGTTTTGAGTTATTAGGGCTAAGCATTGCGTCAGAAAGCTGGCCTTCGACGTTTCAGATAATCTAAGTCCTTGCATCATAAAGCGAAGCGCGTCTATGTCCAGCTTCAAACCTAGATCACCTCTTTAATTATCCCTAAGTTAATAACCGATATAAATGGGATGTAAATTTTGGGCTTTACGTGCGGTGCTACTGCCCAGTTGACCATTGCCTAATACAGCTGGCTTCCAGCGGCATGAAACACACCGCGTTTCCAATCTAGCTTAATAAATATTCCTAAATTCACGAGCTATGACGAGAAGATGATGGTACGCAACTCATAGTCGATGATCCCGATTACCCATTCAGGAGAGGGATTTAGTTAAACTTCGGCATTCTGGCTGAAGATTACCATTCGAATCCTCATAACCTAAATATTATATGTTTCGAGCTTTACATCCAACACTGCCGCTAGTCTTCGTGTTAACTAATCTCCAAAGCGTATAGAGCGTGCGTGTGATCTTTTTGACCCTTGCTACACATCTATTCGAAAATATAATTTTGTAGTACATATGTTTATACGAATAAAGCTTTCTCTCAATCAACATTTCAGACCGGGCAAAATAACTATTCACTACTACTATAAAATTGTGCAGTATATGATGAAGGATGCAAGACTTGATTTTCAATCCCAGAATCCACAAATTGTCTGTTAGATCTCTCTTCTACGTTTTATTTATTCGAAGACACAGTCCCCAAAATATATGCGTTAGAAAATCGAATCGTTTCTCAGTACATTGTTCAGATAGGCCAATATAGGCTCATATAAACGCAAAATATATTCTTCAAGTTTAGATTTCATTTGTTCTTTAGTTATACCGTTGACGCTCAAAACCAAAAGATAGTTAATCGTAAAATTGCTGGAAAACATCTTATCATTTTCTAGGTTCTTATATATATATATATGAATTGACGCTTCTAAATAGGTTTCAGATCACACAGATGACGCGTATAGCTTTCTTTCTTTTTTCAAAGACTTGTTTCATCACCTGCCTCATTTGTGTTACTGTGTTTAGCCACGAGTGTAACAGAAGACTCACAAACGTCATCATTAACACTAAGAAGTGGCATCGAATATGACATTTGCTTAATACGTGAGCTTCAAAAATATTGTTCAACATTTTGCAACGAAAAAACTTGACAAAAAACGAGACTAGAGGTGATGTCCCGCCCTTTGCCGTTTAAATTTCTGTATTTTCAAGATGGCGGTGCAATGTGTATAAACATGTGCATCCGAATTTCGAACGAAAGCAATTTAACTTGTTATCACTTAGGTGAGATTTGCGTTCTTAAGAGTTTGATTGTAGTCAAGAAGTAGGTGTGGCTCGAAGACCAACCGAACGCACAGTTTTTAATCTAGCGGCTTTTCAGTTTTTGTAGTAGACTGGTTTTAAGTAAATACCGTGTTGTATTATTTATGTCGTTGTCCTCTGCGACATAGGTCAGTCGCGCATATTGCACAACCAAATAATGAAGTTAATGATTGAATAGCTAACTGTTGTACCATAATTTTGCCGCATAGTTTTCATGGGTTGGCGGCTATGAACAGCTACATGTAAATCTATGCGTTGGAAACGATTCCTTGTAGAATATACGAATTTTCGTTTCTACACATACTATTTACTTCGAAAAAACGAAAAAAAAAATGTAATCTCATTGAGTTTTCAATAATATCTGAAAGCCGTTAGCTATAGGATGCCCGCCACTGCTCGTTTTATTCTATACCTCAGCCGAGGGTTTCCGCGCACATCCACCTCGTTTGGATCTTCGGATACCTCAAGTTTCAACTGGGCACGGTATGCTCCTGCAGTGACGATGAGCGTAAGTAAATTTAAAAGTTGCCCCATATTCCTTAATTATGTCAGATCATTATCTCGATCGCAAGTATTGATCAAACGAAACTATATTTAATTGTACTACGTGTTCTATAGGTATTCGTATTTTACTCGGCAAAGTAAAAATGTCGGAGTGATAGTTCATTTGCTTGTACTTCGTCATATTCTTGTAGATCAAATTCGTGTGAAGAGCAAAGTGAATCTAAAAATTAAAACCATTAAATTGCCGACCTAGGGCTGTGTAAAAACAACAATGAGTCACAGATTTTTGCCTATAAAAAAAAAAAAAAAACGCCAAAAGTATATGCTCTCTAGGTGGAACTGCATAAACAAAGCAGTAATAACACTTATTTCTGTACGTTAGTGGTAAAGTGTTACGCTTTGATGGATAGAATGTTAAAAAGTGAAAAATGATGAGTTCGTTATGTCTCCTGTTATCCTATATGTATAATGAGCTTCATATTCACAAAAAACTTTTGCTGTGCTTCTTTGCTGGTTACTATTTCTACACAATTTTCAATTTTTTATTGAAGCACAAAAGTTAAGCTTGAATTTTATCTCAAACATCAACTTCTGAATCCTGTACTCTCATATAGAAAAGGCTTACTTACAGATGGTACCACGTATCGACTAGTACTATACCTAAAATTTTCTTTAAAATCCCATTGTACAGATCTCGCATCGCCTGTGGAGTTCAAAGTCGTTGGGCACACCAGAGACCAAATCAACACCCCAGCCAACACCAAACTTCCCAGAAAAGCATCAGGTCGAAACAACTGAGCTGCATGTAGAAAAGCATCCCCTAGACACAGAGGAATGGAGTCGCGTGTACCGATTTCCTTATATTGTGGCTGTGCATCGACTAATCCGTTTGAAATTATATCAGACCGTGGCTTCAGTGTTGACGGTACCGCCCATCATGTGGGCTTACTATACACAGACGATCACAATAGGTAAATATGCATAGATAGTATTGTCTATCACTGAATTATAATTATTTACAAGCGTTGTATGAATCGGGAAATTAGCTCCTAAGATAGTTTATGTAAGTAAATTAGCAAAATCTGGGTGTATTTTACAGGCGTCATAATGAGCTGTTTTATAAAGTACTTACCCAACTTCCAGCATGATCAGCAAAACGACACTTAACGATTATAGATTTCTGAGGTGACCATATTCTAGTTTTCTAGAAATCGAACTTATTAAATAATTAAACACGTGCAGGTAACAAAATATAAGGGACGACACATAAGATATAGAAAAGGCTCATCTCAAGAGAACGTATATGGCTTTATTCGACGAGCAGAGCGTTAAGCTCGTAAACGAAAATTCTCGGTTCGATTCCGACCTAAAATTCACAATGTTTGAAGAAAAGCGAAATTACCCGAGAAGGCAGCAAATGAAAATCGCATGAGAAGTGCCAGTTGTATTACAGCACTCAGAAAATGGCCTGTTCGAAAATGAAACAAAACAAATTATTAGAGCATCTATTAATAAAAGGTCTCTATATTTGTCTGTGGATAATAGTTTCTACAGTTTTGTATCAGGAGGCCTTTTTAATTTATACATTATTTGCTTCTGGAACGTAACCGTAAACCGGCCATCGACCAACGTCACAATGACGCACGCTGATCGAGTCGGCTGACTTCTATTCATCCAGTTCCTGAAACGTTCCAAGCAAAGTTTTCGCTCAACCTGGATAAAAACCTCCATATGTATAACAAATAAACGTAAAACTGAGGCTTTTTACGCCAGTTTTGCAACTAAATACTTACGAGCATCCTATTATAACTAAGCTTATCGAAATTTAGCGATTAATACTAAAAAGAAACCACATCTTTTTGCTTAGCGAAGGTTTATTTCAATATCTTGCTGCTTTTCACGACAAAAAAATGCCAAAGAAAAAATTCACACAAAAAATAAAGTTGCATCGAAATTTTTAGCGAAAAAGCAATTAAGAGTAACCTTTCAAGTCATGGTTAAAGGTGTCAGATTTAATAGGAAAATAAAGATTACAAACGAAAATCTGCAGCAACTACAAATACTAGGCTATAGTAAGCGAATCCGGCGGACCATGAAATTGAGTAACTTTTACGCCACTTGGGTTAGAATGATGATTTTTTCTATTTATTAATTTGCTGATATACACACTTATTCTAGCGCTCTAGCCGTTTCTGCATTTCAAAGCTAATAGGTAGTGCGGTATGCTTGCCCACCAGTTAATTTTTGTTAGAACATGCAAGTCGTAAGGTGTTTGATCGGGAGAATAAGCAGATCGAAGGCAAGGTCGGATATTTTTTTGCTTAACCCAATAAGCAACTGGAGTACAACAAGGAAGTCTGGAGTTATCATCAAGTAGCCAGACTGCGTTCTTTCGATCGCCGGTATATGAGCGTCTCCTGGGCGATGCCATTCCTTCGTCCGGTCTTTCTCCGGCCGGCAGCTAAAACTGAAGCACGTCCTGACTATGACAATCGAATACCTTGAGCAGCATCTTGCTGATAAGTCATGTTTCGCAAATATCACGTGGCTTACACCACACACATTTCAAACTGGGCTAGAACCACCTATACTCAGTTCCTGCACTTTCAGTATCTGGGTTACAATTCTACTACAATAAGTTGCATGCAAAATGCTAGCTTTGGCAAACAGAACCCTGAAATTCCAAGCCTGGTTTCCGTAAAAAGCCTTTTCGACTGCGCCAATACGTTTTTCTGTTTCGCGTTCCGGCGCTTAGTTACATCCTCATTTCCTTGGCACTTTAATCCCGGTTCTTGAAGCATTTGCACCATTTGCGTACTGTTCTTTCGCTGAAGGACCTCTTAGCCTATGTTTATAAATCTTCAATGAACTTCCGTGCGTTGACTATAGAGCAATAAAAACTTGACTGCTGAGCCCTAATTATTGAGGCTAAAAGATAATTTCCCTTTTTTCCTGAAGCAAACATAGTGGCTGTTTACTAGCAAGTTTCCAAAAGACCGATAGTAACGTATAGTTGAAAAAGTTATTTAGTTTCAATTATCGCTAGATCTGTGCATAATAACCTAATATATTAAGAATCAAAAAATGATAAAAGACCACGTTAAACCGATGATAATTTATACGGTCAAAGAGGATGCGAACAAACCATAAAAATATCTATTATTCTTTTGCAAAAGATTTTTCTGAACTTCCTCAAGTGATGCATTGCGATCCCGGAATCCTTATTATTGATCACCTGTCAACCATAATTGGACACCGGAAAAATCATACCCGACAAAATTGCAGATCGTCTGCTTGACTTGACAAGTGTTTTTCCTGTTTTATATGAAATCAAGTCATATACCATTATTATAGCATATAGCTTACCTTTCGATATATGTTGCTTACGTATAGCATATGCAATAAGCCAGACGAAGTTCATCGCTTTTTCTCGCTTTATTCGCGGCTTAATTCAGATCAAGCGTCGTGCATGGTCGGCATCACAACAACAGCAGTCGTCTTCCTCTATATAGCGGGACATTTGAGCGAACGCTTCATTGGAGCCGTTTATGAGAACCAAGGCAAGGACAAGGTTCGATTGGCTCACTTAACATTCTTTGGACATCGAAAGGACATCATTGTAGACTCCAACGATATAATGGATCTCTCGGATGTTGGTAAGCATTATATATCAGCCACATAAATATCTCGTATCGTACGTTTTTATAGAAAACTGTTATATAATAGAAGGTCATCTATACAATGCTACAGTTGCAGCATCATCTAACTGCCGCTTCATAAGCAACAAACGGTTCTATTTTATACTTCGAACGCCAGCGTAAGAAATTTCATAAACATTTGTCTCTCTTTCCGCCTCGTGAAACACAGATGCGGTTCCGGACATAAAATTCGACACAATTACTCTTATAGCGTATCGTTTTGCTCTGACTCTGATATACTGAATTCTAGAAGACACTGGGACAACTATATTGCGATGGATTCAATAAAGTGTTTTGTAATAATTTATTAAATCCAGTATGATGCACATTGGTTTTAATGATTATCTTGCCATACGAGAATAGACCGTCCAATTATCCAACCTGTATCGTTAACGAAATCGCTGCTAACTTGAACATAAATCATTACTTCGCCGTTTTCACGATCATTGTACCTAACATGGATCTCGCCGACTAGAAAAATAATTAAACAAAAAAAAAAAAATTGAATTTCGACGCGCGGCACTTGAGCGGTTAAGCATTGCTCCAAACGGTGGGCCCTCAGCAAGAAACGATTTATATCTATGTCCGGTTTTGAACGTAGGCCACTTTATCGAGTGTTCGTAAATTTAGGACAATGACACAAACGTTACCAGGCAGAACTTCTTGGACTTGAATAACATAACATAATCAAATTAATATAAACAGATTACGAAAAAATAAGGCTCTTAGCCAGGGCTATCCAGCTGAATTTCGAGTCGATATACGTCATAACATGAAATGTACTTATCGATGTTTTTTTTTTGCGTTGAATTGTTCATGCTTAGGTGAAAAGGCGGAAAATCTCTACATTCGGATATACCGGATATCACAGCCAAAGGACCCTCTAATTTTGTTTCCCCATTACGGTGGAATTGAAAATCATGAAGCGTTTGAACGCATTTTTGGATTCAAAAAGCGCACTCCAGTGTTTAGGGTCACTAAAGTCACCAAGAAATAGATTGATTAGTACATAAATATAGGTAAAAATGTCAAGTTAGGATAAAGAAAAATAAAGTGAATTTGCAGTTATTTATATACAACCAACCGTTTCCTTGAATACATTAATTACCAGAAGAGTTGACGAGGTGTGGAATAGTGCGATGATTTTCCTACATTCTATAACAAGTGCAAGTGGCCAGCAAAACTATTTCTAGGTTTTATGTCAGGTGGTCTATTATTGCTTAGGCTGAACTAGGTACATTCGTTTTCCCTAGATGCATTACAGTTTCATCCAGGAACCAGAACCAGTGCTTTCGGTCTCTTTCAAAAGTAATCGAATCCTATCTTTCACGAGAGGAACCAGATATGAATAGAGGTTTGCTTGCATTGACTCACATCAAAGTGATAAGGCATTCGGGTGATATATATAGCTATGTCCAGATATGGCGGAAAATGAAGGATCTAAAAGGAGAAAGTGCCCTATGGAGCTTATGATACTGCCCATTTTTTTTTCGAATTGACAACAAAAAGTAAGCGCTGTTCTGAGAGCATGTTTTGAGAGAAACGTCTTAGTTTCGGTTAACTTGACGCTTGAAAATCTTCTGAGATCATAGAGGTAATTGAATTGTTGACCTCGAAAACATATGTGCCATATACCTGGCGTAATAATGAACGAAACAAATCATACGATATACATTAACTCGATACACCAATGTCCGTTTATGGGAATTATTATTAATGGGAATAATTTCTGCTGCTTATTATTAATGGGGTGCCCGTAGTCGTGAGAAAGCATTGAATCCTTCTAAAAAAAATTCTGCCTTTTCTCCCCATAGCTTTCAAACTAACGTAATCTGAGACTTATTTAGACTAAACATTGAAAAATCACTTTATCTCGGCAGTAATCTAGGAGGCCTATTAAAGCGAAGCTTCTCTCTGGTTCTTATTGTTCGTTGTAGAGCAGGGTTCGCACCAACAAGAAAGCGATTTGAACTATTATATTTTATTGGGGTAAAGTCACCCAGTATGCTTTAAATAAGTACGTATTCATCGACGCCCTCATGAAATATACTGATATCCGTTCCTTGGGCAAGCACCGAGGAAGGCATATCTTTTTTCGAAGTCCCTAATTTAGTGTATCATAACAGCTTAGAAAATTGCAAAATATGAAGGTAACCGTTACCACATCATAAATCTGATGTTAAAAGCTACCATGACTATAAGTAGAAAGCCCAGTTGTGTAATTATGGTGTTAGTAATCCTAATAAACATACAACTCAATTGTATTAAATTATTTTCCGCGCCAGCCAATCTCCTTCCGTAGCGAAGGAGATTATAAGAAGGCTGTAACCGTGAGCGCCGTATTTTGAACACTTTTTCCAACTAGTATGACATACTTAAGGACTGATATATGACGCAATTCATTTTCCCCATTTGCCGTTTCGAATGGCGCTGTATACGCGCCCCATATTTATTATGCGACCCTAAGATCGACTGGCATAGACGTACGGTTCACTGTTAAATAAAGGCCCCAATAAATAAAATGTTGTCTTCAATTGACATACCGAGGTCTACCGAAGGTATAGATGTATGTACATAACTTTTTCTTTGGCATCCTCAGTTAGCTAGTTTTTTTACATATGCAAGTCACCTCCTTATACAGTATAGCATCAGAATTCAATTGTGGTAAAGGTCTCTGAAGTTTTGTCCGACACAATTACTAGGTATAATAATCATATAAAAACCTGTCGACCTTTTATTAACCTATTAATGTCCTAGCTGTTAATTTCTGGCTATCATCTTCGCCAACGCTAAGCTTGTCCTTCTGGTTATCACGGTAACGCATCCAGAGATGCGCACTAGCCACGTAGACCACAGTCAATCAAAGCTTTACCCATTCAATACATTGCGTCGATGAATATGATGTCCATACGTTTGCTTTATTTATTTCATCACACCTGTCGCGTCGGATGTGTTATTGATGAGGCTTGGACCAGCTGATACTGTTTTTTTTAGATTATATATATATATATATATATAAAGCTTGATACTAATTCTCATCGGATCTATCTAACAAAATTATAACTCTAGCTTCCATTGCTGGGTTACGTGCGTGGTCACATTTCAGACATTCAAGGCTGTAAAACTAAAGTGGATACCACAAGGGCTAGAGCCCCACACTGCCATCGTAAATCCATTTGCTCCTTGTCAAACTCGTCTGAGCTCAAAGTGATTACTAGATATGATTCTCATTTGTGGCCGACGGGAACTGGGCGATTCTGAGCTGAGTTTGGTCGTAGCATCAAACATCTCATCTAATTAAGCTTACCTCTCTCATTGGAACGCTAAATATTACCATCTGTTTTATACTGTTCACACCTAAATCTGTTCGAGTGTTATTCTAGCAGTTATGTAGTAATTCGTTCCTTTGGATTGGATTTAAGAAAGTCCATTATCGTGGTCCACAAGTTGGCACACATAAAGCGCATAGCACTTATTGCCAGCATTGAGTAAAGCTCATTTATAAGTCAATCAAATCATTTGCTAGAAAAGGTAAATGTAAAGAGAAAAACTATCTGTGCAAGATAAATTTGGGTATTAAAGTACGTCCATCTAATCGGGTTTTGCAATGCTATTGGCGTGCTATCTTATTGTACTTACTGAGGGCAAAGCTTATCAAATACTTAGGACAAATATTTCCTATCTAACTAATTCGCATTTAACACGCGAAATTGTTTTTTATGGAATTTACTGTACAAGTTACGGTTCACTTGAGAACCTTCGCTGATTGTAATTATAGGTACATTTGCACTATCGTTAAGGTGACAATATGCCGGTTCCATATACGTCGTTACTGCAAGGATTGGACATTGTTTACAAATCTACCGGTGAAACTAACCGAATTAGATCATCTTTTAATTCTCTAATGAAATCCAATCAGCTACTTTTTTCGTACAGTACAATTTTTACATATTTTTTTCTCTTGAGTCTTTTTACTCGATTCCACTTACTCGCTTTGAAGACCAGAGTGGCGGAAATTGCGCATCAACCAGGAAACGCAATGACCGCAGATTTGAAAGTCGTACCGAGAAAGTCAAATGTAGAAGTATTTCCTAGTACCAGATGCAATCGCATGCTGTAATCTCTTAACGAACGACCATACATCACAAGGCAAGAAAATAATGCCAAACCACAATTCTGATCAGCGACCATCGTAGTCGTCACCACCTTCTCCAAAATTTTTTTCCAATCGCGTCGAGCTCCTGCCTGTAACCATACAAGGGCATTACATGAATTCTAAGCATTTTCTTTTTCTTGGAGCGAGTTCTTTCTCCTGCACCCTTTATCCCGCGAGAACGCTAAACATAGGTCGACTTCTTTCTTCGGTCGAGTTTTCCATTTCTATCGCTTCCGCCAGCGCAGCTAGACCTAAGTGGGTTACATGAGCGTATAAGAAGTTCCGTATTAAGAATCTTTCTTTAGCAGTTGTACTAGCTGACTAGAAACTATCTCTGTGCGCGCAGTTTATATCTTTATGGGCACGCCCATATCTGAGACTAGATAGTACTGGTAATCATTCTTTTCTCTTAGCCAAACTGACCTCTGTCGAGCCTGTTCAGTGTCCGCTACAGGCCGGCCAGCGGTCTACTTTCCCTAGTTGGTCATGAGCCAGTAAACGGGCCATTCAAAGCAATTTCCTGCTCTTCATCGTCTCCGTGCGGTAATGCCAATGCTGCAATAGCTTGCCCGTTTTTCTATTTTTACTTCCTCCTTTACTCTCAGTAGCGCGCACTTTTTCAAATTTCGTCATTAATTAGTATTATCATAGAAGTAGTCGCCTTCGTCTTTAACCAATCTAGGTAGACTTTTGCTGCGCTTTTAGCTCGGGCTTGCTTTTTTTGTCTCTGTTACGCGCAGTTCTCTTCGTTCAGCCGAGTATGGTCTGTTCCGCGGTCAGCTGGAGAAAAATTCGAATGCGAGAAACCGAGAGACCGCTTCCATAACAATATCTTACTACGGCTGCTATTAGCGCAGATAACTAAGACCTGCCCGTGGAGGACGGCTATGCCCCTTCGCCTGGTGCCCATATTGACGCTGCCAGTGGCGGTGCTCTGGTCCACGGTTTAGTAAGACCACTGAATCCGATCGCTGCGTGTTCACCTTCTCGCTTGGAGGTGGTCGAACGAACCCAGAACGGGCAAGGCCTTACTGTTTTGCTTTCGTTTCTTTAAGCGCATCACAAGTATAGGCCGGGTCTTCCGAGTCGCCTGCTGTGGCAAACTGCCTGATGTGAAAGGCTCAACTGCTAAAGGCGGCAGATCCGGTGTGTGAGTGTTTAAGAAATCTAAATGCCCGACGCTGAAACCGCTGTTAAGCTAGTGTCACCGATTCGAGTCGACCCAGCTCAGCACCGCTCTCGCCTGAAACACTGTAAAGTGGCGATAGCCGCATTGTATATCGCTGTGTATACCGCACATTACGTAACATTTATTTACGGACAGAGGCCGAAACAAGCTGGGGGGTGCAGGTTGCCCATGGTGCGATATAGTCTGCTCGTATTTGTATTCATCTCAAGTGCGAGTGATTTCTGAGCGACGTAACAATGTCACTATAGGTCACCCACACGTGCATTGTAGGCTGATTTGTTACGGTCGTTTTTTCTATGTTTAGACATTGTTCGCTGAAGGCATTACGTCGTTATTGCAGCAAGTTCTTATGAACTCGTTGTAGAATAAAAGGATATAGTGAATTGTAGCGAGATGGGTGAAGTTGATGAGAGGTAAAAAAAATGGCCGGCATATACTGGAAGTGCGCGATTGTCCAGTAGACCACCCAACTAGCTTCGTTGGTTGAAGATTTCGGAATGATATTATATGAATTGGATGTTTAAGGTCAGTTTAAGTGAGTTTACCTGTACACGGACGAAAGCAAAAACGATCTTGAGAGAACACTAAACTCGAAACGGTTCTTTTCGCGTTTTCCGTTTGGGTGTTCGGCGATTTGGAGTACATAGGCCTGTAAGTGTGCGTGAATCATCTCAGAATGACGTGACCGTATTGTATTGCATCGAGTGTCTCTGCACAGCCCATAGTGCAGTAATATATCGTGTTATGGTCTATTATCAACATTGCATACACGGCTTCCGGTAAGGGTAACGTTCAGTTCTGTGTACAGTTGCACTATGACCATAATAATGTTTGTAATAGATCGATTCGCCTTTTTATCGAAGGGTTGTTGTTCTCTGCTAGAACTAGCTAGCTTTTTCAGACTGTGAATCAAGGAATCATTAAGCGATTGCAGTAGATTGATCTTCACATTTGACCATGTCCGAGTCCAAGTAAGTCGCAATTACAGAATACAAATTGTACCTTCTTTACGTCCCCAGTGTGACGTTGTGTCGTGTGTCTATGCTTTAATTGCGTCAGAGCTTGAAATATTTCTTTCAAAGTATTTTCTTTTTGTTATAGGTAGCTGAGGATCTAGTCTCACCTCCAACGTACGATATGTAATGTAACGTAACTGGCCTGCAAAAAACATCGAATATATCCCGTCCAACAAATTACATTTTTATCAAATGTCCGGTCATCGTTTTAGCATTTGTACTAAATCCGTACATCTTTACATATGATACTGTGAATGTATAGCCAGTGATGGCAGTCATCTGTATTTGCCAAGAAGAACAGTCTCAGCCCTCGTTACAAAACGGTTGAAAAAATTCGTACGGGCATGCCAGTTGTTGTGTTGCCCGCCGATCTGATTAAAGATGCGATGTAGAACTAAAAGCTTCTGGACATCTATGAACCCTTGTCCGGTATTGCAAACTGGCCTCTATGTACACCTCATCTAAGAGAAAGTCTAGGCAAAGGTGAACGTGATAAGTGGCATTTTGCGCGCCAGCTACTTTACTACGGCCATGGGCTACCCCTCTGTTTGAAGGTATTATATATTTAAATATTGACGAGAGAATTTGCGGCCAGTTCGAGCGCGATAATATCTGAACAGTAAGAGCTAAACGATAGGGAGACTTCGTATTGAGAACGCTCCTATTTGAATCAGGAGCAATTAGAAAGTCACTTGTATTTGACAGAAGAGATGATTGATTTAATATTGCCAGATGCTGTTTCGCTCATGAGCACAACGTATAGCAACGCTCATACGGGAGATGACCTAACCCAAAGTAATAGCTTGACGGATGTAACTAGCACGATGTTGACTGGATAGTCAGCTGGCATTTATGAGGTTTTTAAATAGAAGCTGGGGGTTCTTGCACAGTATTCAAATATGTGCGATCTTCTGACTGCGTGATTCAATTTTTATCAATTATTAGAATCAGAATCACTATCGGTGCTAGTACCAGCATTTTCAGGTCGTTTAATGCTACCGAAAGCGTTTCCAGGAGCCTTAATTGGTCATACCAACAAAATGATTAATATAGATCGGTTTTTACAGCAGAATTAATGATTTTCTGCCTGATACTGACGACAAATTGCAAGGTGAAGTTGGCTTTGCTTGGATTAACTAACGAAGCTCCAACTGATCCATCTCAGCCGAAGCTGACTAGAAATCTCTTACAGGTTGTACATATCCGCCTCAACCTATGAAATCCCTTCGAGTTCCTAAAAATTTCATAGCAGGATAAGCAATAGTAGGGTCCCACCGAATTCGACGCCGTTTATTACAGAAGTTATTGTGCCATACTGGTTCAGGGGCAATCGAGGTTTGCACCTTTGATAAAAGGCTGGCTTTCCAAATGAACATTTACTCATTCCAACATACATTTACGCTCAGTTCTTATTAGGGTTGTCATTAGGTCTTTTTAATTTAGTTAGTCATCTTAGCCTGGGCAGATAATGCTGAGATACAGGTTAATGCATAGAGAAGACGATACTATACGGATTACATATAGAAAAAGCGTAGCCTGTACGAAAGAAACTGCTTGCGTTGTCAGAACGAGATCATTTTTCTGATGCTGGTCCGTTTCAGTTACCTATAATGGGACGTTGATTTTCCTTTGCAATTCGTAGTAATAATTTTTCTCATCACTCTGTTTATTACCTCATATTTTTAACACACATTGTTGCAAATTTGGCAGGAATCTAGCCTCGTAGCAGGGCGCTGAAATCCTACGCATCTACTCTATAGATATCATAACCTGGTGCAGTGGTATCGCCTTTGCCTATTTTATTGGAAGGACCAGTCAGCTGTCTGAAACAATGCGTGACAGCAATATTGGATGCAACGCTAGAAATAGTTAGACATCACCATACGCCGCCGCACATACGTCGGCGGATTTAGGAAACTGAATATGTATCAAGTTTGATAAATCTGACTACCGAAAGCCAACCTTATTAAATATTCGCTTGTTGAGTCTTTGACATGACCATTATTATTATTATTAAGCAAATCAAACAGTACAGTTCTTACGGTTGGATCAGAAATGTTTCCTCAAACCGCACTAGAACCTTGTTTTCCACCTGTTGCTCTGATCTTTTGTGGAATAAATCTTCTTCCCGATGACCCGTTCTAACCAACAAATGGCTTTCTCTGGGTTTCCTCTGCGTTCTAGACCACCCTATTAATGTTTGTTGCTTCAGTTTTCTCTACAGTCATAAGGTGCGTGTTTTGTGTGGTAGTCAACACTCCCATCACAGATAAGTAGAGCCACGCCCGCCACTCACCCCGAGCACCGCGTCGACAACGCCCATTGATTGAACCCGGTTAGTGGTTCGAGCTCGCTCAGCCATAGCTGTCCGTTTTAGGCATGGCTCTTCTAAACTGAGTCGTGTACTCCTCCCACTGATTAATGTTTTCCTCTCCTCCTTTTCCCTGTCTGATCATTTTTGTCGGTTTTTTCCTAGGGAAGAGATTTCCATGACGCGACGCGAAAGGTTACTAGCAATGAAGGAAAAAAGCTTTTCTTTTCCCCTTCGTGTGCTCTTTCTTTCTCTTTTTTTTCCCGCTCGTTTTGTCTGTACACGGGACAAGCCAACATACATCTCCCAACCGAGCAGCATGAGATAGGTGTAACAGTGCTTAGTGTACCATTGCGGGACCGATAACTCCGTCTATATTGGGAAATCCGTCCGAAGTATTGACTCTCTAAAGCGAAAACCGGTAACCAAGTGACGGCACACCATTCAACTGTACAAACACACACCCACACACACACAAACACAAACACACATATGTATAATATATATTTAGAGATGCTAAACGTCGCGAACAAGCCCGTGCATGAACATGGCCTTAACCTAGCTTCACGATGAATGGTCTGGTAAGCCGAAGCTTCTTACAGGAGAAAGCTAGAACATTGCCATGAGCGTCCCGAGTCGGTCGCCGTTCCGATTGACCATACAAGCCAAAAAAAACAACAGTCAAAACACAGTCCGTCTTACCGTACAGGGCGCTGTCGTCGACCGGAAAACACGGCAGTTTCAGCGGCGCCCCATAATTGTTACGATCTGGGTTTAGGCTATGTTTGTGTATCTCATATATATACGTCGTTAAAATATGAGTCTCATTAGTTGAACTACAAGAGACGCGGAAAGTCTAGGCGAGTCTCCGGGTTACCGTAAGCTGGCGTCTATGGGCTGGTGCCTGACCATTGCGTTTGTTCGTATTATAAATACTGTCGCTGCTCCTGCTGATGAATGTCGCGCAGTAACTTACTTTGCTATGCCACATTCGCTGTCGTCAAAGCGACATACATGGAAAAAGGGGGAAATTTTCACGACATTTGCGCGCTTATCGCATTGTGCCACTGAGACGCAGTTACTATGGAGACTCTCATGAAATAGAAAAAACACCAAGTAGAAAGGAAGTAGAGCTTTTTCTTAAGATGGATTCGTGTCCAGATTCGAACCTGGACTTTCTCAAGTAAAAATTCGAGCAATAGAACCGGTCAGTGAATATGCCAGTCTCGTTTCTTGTTTGGTCGCTTTGGATTGCTAGTACTGCGCCTCCGATCGTGACAGGCAGTCCCTGAAACCATGCTAAAGCAGCAGTAAAAGGACATCTGAGAGTTTCAGCCTCAAATTTTTTGTTGTTTCCCCTCGATGGCGAGTTATGATGCTCGTGGGTCCAAAACTCTGTAATAAATTATGGTATCAGGCGTGCATATATAAGCAATGTATGTGTCCTCTGCGTAAGTACTGCATTAAACCGGTTTGATTATAACATGATAAGCCGAAGAGCAAAGCATCATTAAGGGTTCTCAAGTCAAGGTAATCTTCAATCTGAAGTGGAGAGGGAGGAGATGCGACGAAATAATTGAAAGCGTTTGAAGCTTATATTGATTATTTGTAACATTATATCGTAGACGAAAGATATACATCTTTTGCTATGAAAGAGTTTGGCTAGTAATTGGCTGGTGCACAAGTAATCAGATTACCGGTATACAGCTGATATTCGGAAGAATTTTGATCGAACATTTTTTCGAAATTAGGAAACACAGTTACATTTCGAAGACGTCACGAAGTTAAGTTATTCAAATGTCCCATATCCATGTCTGTTCAATATAAACGATAAATTTCAATAGTACAACTTTCGTGAAAAGATGTCCGTTCACACAGCAGAGACAATAGCTTCTCCAAAGTTACAGATATGTAATGTTACCTAGGATATAGAAAACGATTTCCCGGCAGACTAAACATTTCCCACGTTACTTCTATGCCAAGTAGTCTATTACTGTGATCTAGTTGCGGTAGACTTAATGAAAAGCACAAAAATAAGGAGACCATTAATCGGTTGCACTAAACCATTGAACTAAACCAGAAGGATTGTATTTTAAAAATATCTACTTAATTTGAGCTATTCGTCTACAACTCAAGTCCGGTCCTAGCTGAAATAATCATTTTGACCGTATTATCGATCGTGTTGTTATTCAAACCTTCTGAACCGCGTTGAGATATATGCTCGTGTCGACCTTTAGGCTCACTGGCTCCACGGGTTAATAATAAATAACAGGTTGATGTGAACTAACCTAACACAAATGGCACTCAGACGCAAACAAGAACGCGTACTACACGAAAAATATGACTTTGTAAAAAAAAAACAGACATTATCCAATATATACACCTAATCCAATTGGCAAATGCACCGATATCAGACTGCACAAATGTCTCTCCAATATTTAAAGGAGTTCGGGTCAAAACCAGCTTCTTTTACCATGGTAGACCCTGATTTGCACGACATCACCAGCCAGTCGTTTCTTCACCGCCATTCGAGGGTTTAGGCATAACCGTTGGAAGCGGTCATCAGTGTGCGCAAGTAAACGCTACGGGACCAAAGAAGGGAGGATGGCCTATAAAGGAGAGCGCAGTCTGCATAAAGCAAATAGAGATACCACGTGTTTTTTTTTTCTTATACATAACCATTTACTTTTGTTGCGTTCTTTCTTCTGGTACTCAGTGATGCAAAGGCTCGGAAATGTCGTCGGTGTTAGTTGACTTTGCACGATCAGATAGGTTGATCATATTGTGAAATTCACTAAGCGTGTGGAGTGACTCAAAACAGAGTTTCTGTGTGATCTATTTAATCGTAAGAATACCCTTCTTTTTTGTTGCCGTTGTCTCTTTGGTTAGTATTTTGTGCATCTTTGCTTGAAAAGAAAAGTGCTTTCTTCAATCGGGGGTTTCGTCGGGAAGAAACCTAACAAGGGTTCGAACAATAGTAGATCAGCGTTTGCCACTCAGCAGACAAACATGTACCTATCTAGCATCATGTACACTGAATTGAAGCTGTGCAGGAAATTTTCTTTGTTTCACTTTTGCCAAACTCATTTCTAGTAATTTCATTACCTCGGCACAAGCAACTTGCTCTAAAGCATATTGGATTTCCGTGGTTTTGATGACTGGGCTGCTAAAGTTGGTGAAGACCGCGTTCTTGCCAAGCTATCTCTGAGAATTGCACGTTATGCTTATGCTATTATTTGTCTACCTCACATTAATATCGGTAAGCATTAGAGCAGAAGGTTTGATAATGGCTACGTTGAGGGCCTAATTGGCCTTGGAGAAAGATCAAGCTTAGAATGGTCGTTGATCTTGTTTGTGGACTAGGTATGACACAAATAGATGAAAATCTTTGAGTCTGGTAGCTTAAAGTTGACTTGAATCGATGCTTAGAAGTTTTTGTCAACATACTTAAGATTTTATCTCAGATAAGAATGATTCTGATGATCTCATAAGTAATCACATACTTTTATATCAATTATACACCGTTATACACAGTCGATACTTACCGTCGTTTGCGTTAGGTAGTCCAGGCTGCGGCGTGCTGCATCAAGGAATTAAGTTGTTGAGTATTATAGATAAGGGGACGCGACAGAGAACAGATGTTTCATGTGGCTATTGCTGAGGGTGAAATCGTTCGCGAGGTGGGTTCGTATATGCTAGAACAACAGGATATGTTCGCGGTGTATTGTAGCCGGGCGACAACCTTTTCGGTGGTCTTCAACTCATTGATTGTCAGTTATAATTTCGTGTGAAAAACACTTTGTGGTAGTACACTGTCCAATAGCGCTAGTAACAATGGCGAATGGACTGCGTCCCCGTTATCGCCTGGTGGCAAAATATTTCCTCCACTAGATTTTAAGATGTTTATTAAGGAGTGGCCTAGACTCGAAGTAAGCCGAAAACTATTTGCGTTACCGAAGTAGTACAACCGGAAGTCAATTTAAAGGCATTTCTAGTCGTAGTGGTTGTAGTTTGTGTTTCGAGGCTCACAGCCCAGTCACTCGTTTATTGCCACTATCTTTATCATAATCGGCCCTAATAGTAAGCTTGGTTTGTACTGGGAAATTGCGAACCATCTTGATCGAGCTAACATGAGACTATGATTTTTTATCGGTAAATCACCGATTTTGGGTAGGTTATTGCCTATGGATGCCTACTGGTGGAAATACTAACGTTTTTTTTTGTTTTCCACGAATTATTGACCAATAGAATAAGCAGCCTTCAAATTTACTACATAGTTTAGCGACAACGGTGGATTCTAACTCTTGTTCCTAATCTTCCCCTTCAAAACCGCTGTTACTGGCGTGCGTGAAGAAAATATACTTTCCAGTCAACGGATATCGTACAAGCTTACGATCAATGTACAATAGGGTATGTAAGCAAAAGAACCCAGTAACGCAACAACGTAATGAAGGACAATTATGATAAAATGATTATTCTCGTAGCTAGCGGTAAGGAAAAACTGCGTACTCAACACAGTTGTATGTTCATGAAGAGCAGCGAAGACGAAGCCTTCAAAAAAGTCGAAACGTTACCTGATTAGAAAAACTTGGTTTTTATAGGAAAAATTATTTTCCGAGCAATGTCATTTTCTATACGTTTCCATTAAGCCTTACGTTTTATTGAAAATTGTTTATGTAATTAGCAATAAATAAAGCACGCCCGCAGGCATCATTGTCTTAATTTTTACCCTTAGTCTCAATTAAAGAAGGTTGTTCACTTTAAAATTTGTAGCTATAAATTTCTCCTCATTCATGGAACAAGTTCTGAAATTTATTGAGGTTAGTTAAATAAATCCTAAAGTTCCTTGTAAGCCGAACGGTACTCTATCGAGGGGTACACATTTCTGTCAGACATCCTAAAGTTCTTCATGAAGTAGTTTATATTGCCCGATTTAATTTCAGATTTTTCGCGCCGGCCCCTGACGGCAGGAGAGGTTCGCTGTCGTTCGGGGGCAATGCGAGCGGGACCGGGTGGCGCCTCAAAGGCCTCAAGCTTCCGAAGTCGATGTCTGAAGTTTCACAATTTTGTTCCCGCCGACCAGGCAAGCCATCGAGGTGGGTCCGATAGCACTCGCTTACAAGAACAACATGGTACAAAGAAGATCACAGTGGCTTCAACGTCCTGGTTGTCGGGGGTCCAACCGGTGCCCCATGGTCAGCCCCCTCAGTGCATGCTTCTTGCACAGCAGAACTGTCGATCTCCGGAGGTAACTAGCCGATCCTATTTATTTTCTTAGCTTAGCTTTCACTGAAATTGATAGCATTTCTGCCAAATTATTGAGCAATTGCTGCTATAAAACCTGCTATAAATATTGTTAAATAATATATTTTTTACAAATACCTGTGGAAGGGACTCGTGTTGTTGTTACAAATATCAGGTCATTCAAAAAAACGCAAAGGTCTATCAGGTCAGGTTTCTACCGTTCCTCACCTACTATTGATGCGATTTAATACATACGCCCGCCGAAGTGAGTGCTTTGGGTTTTACTTCCGGCGCTACTACTTTAGTTAAGCATTTCTTTAGACAGTTTCCACTAGCACGATGTGTAACGTCTTTACGCCTTGTTTCGAACCTAGGTCATTCTCAAGTGCCCCATCATTTGCAACATACACCCACCTGATGCCCAGGTATCATTAACGTGCTTGTTTAATTGATTCGTTAGCCTATAAAACTTCAAAGTAATCAAAAATATATCTTTTACCATAGGATTTAAACCGGCTTGCTAACAAAAATCGTCTCCGACGTTTCAGAGGGTGGCAATCACACACCATACGCTCCCGCATCCAATAGGCAGTATAGTTCCGGCCGTTACAGGATCTGGTGTCACGTTCCGAGCTCCGCTAACCAGTCCTCCCTCGCCAGTAGCTTTGGCACCGCCCATTTCATGTAACCTTTATAGCCTTTTGCATCCTGCCCCGTTTGCGCCTACGACCCACCTCACTCCTGAGGTCACAATCACGCCGATCGTTGGGCAAGGTGCTATCCGTCATAAAGGTAATAACAACAGCTCAGACAGTTGTACAATTGCCCCTGACTCGTTGGCAGGTGACACTTACGATAGTGATCTTCGGAAGCGAAAGTCTGAAGATGTTCGTCGGTTACTAAATTTAAAAATCTCGCGAAAAGACTTTCAAAAAACCCAACGGGAAGAGCAACCTTTGGACCTGTCGTTAAAGAGAGACGTGTCCGAAGTTTCTGGCGGAAACGATGACGACGTCCAAATAGTCGGTATTGAGGTAAGCAGAAGTAAAATGAAAATGAGTGCGTCAGTACTTTGTTTCGAAAAGGCTTGACTTTAGACTTGTCACTGCTTGATGTTTCCGTTTGTGGTAGGGTCTTTGAATCAGCCTTTTTAATATCAAACGAAATTGCGAGGTCGATGCTATGTCAGATTCGGGCGGTTAATTGAACCTAATCGATCCAGGTTAATTTGTAATGTTTCATATCTTTTATATTTAGGGCGGTTTTAAAAACTAACCTTTTAAGCCATACAGTTTCAACATAATCGTTGCAAAATTTCGATTCCTTAGCCCGGTCATCTAGGCGCAGGTTCCCTTGTGCCCAGACCAATAGCCCTGTATGCCCATTTGGGATCTTCTGCTTCATCACTACCTCACCTGGGGCAAGGACTTCATCTCTCTCAACTGCCTTTTCAGCTTCCTTTAAGTCTGCCGTCTCAATCATCGATGAATCCTCCACTCACGCAGCAGTTAGCGGTACAGTCGCAAGGGCATCTGCAGGGTAGATTGCCCCCGCCCATGGACGCGGGATCGCGTTCGCCTGCAGTTTGTCTAGACGCCGTGGGCAGCAATCACGACCGCCTGAGCTCCGGTATCCTGGTTAAAACAAAACAAGTCAGTTAAAAACCAGTCCCTTTTTAGCCGTATAGAACAATTAAGTTCTGTTGCAGAAAGTGAAAAGAGCTTCTATGCATGCCTTTTTCTAGTTTTCTAATCTCAAATACTTTTTGTATCATTTTGTTCATTTCGAAGATCTTCTATCCCTTCGATTTGATATTGAATTTAATAATCATCTTACTGAAAACAACTGATAGATATTCATGGTATAGGTGTGACGGTAAAAAGAAGTCTATGTAGATGTTCTTCATGACTTAGTAGTGTACACTGTATGTGAGGATAGCGCATGGCTGTTTGTCAAACTAAACCCAGCTATGTTTTGTACTGGTTTTTATTATTATTTTAGCATGATTATTTGTTCTCATCCGGTAAATGTAGCTTGTTTACATTCATTTATTAGCCCTAGAAACGAAAAGTGCTGTCGGTCCTTGATATCGATGCGGTCGCTTCTGCTACAATCTGCCAGACTCCTTAAGGAAACATCTCGCGAGTCCGAAACACTCATGAATATAGCAAGTAATATAATAAAGTAATATATTGCAGCGGATAGATTAAACTTTATTGTTAGTAGCAGCTGCTCGCTCTCCGCAGATGGTAGACGCGTATCTATTTAGAAATAGGGACCACACGAGGCATTCACATGAATCTGATCCTTGCCAGAACAAATCCAAGTGACAAATCCTTGTCATGCTGTCGGTAGCAGCAATGGTAAAACAATTCATCCTTAAACTGTAGCATTTTTTTTTAATATCAACAGATATCCGAAAGCGGCGGAGCAACTTTCTGCAAGTTCCGCCAAGTTAAGCCGGGCGGACCAAGGCCCACAGTCACGAGAGCAGCCACCACGAAGGCCAAACGCTTCCATTTCGTCCAGTCGAGATGGCCCACGGGACAGCACCGTCCACCAGGAAATAGTCCTGGAAAGTAGAGTAGATTTTTCGACGAGTCTTACGTCTGGTGGCATCGTCTTACCTTTGACAGCCTCTTCCAGCAACACGAAAGGAACTGTCTGACCACGCCCGTTGTCGAATTTGATTCGATATGTATCAAGAAATGTCTCCAAATAGTCACACCGTACGTTTGTACTGCATCATCTGACGGTAGCGGTCGAAACGAGCGAAGCGAATCACAGTAATTTGCTTATGGACGATTCGTTTCTATATGTGCAGAGATCGGTTTGTTCCCGATAGTACGATGATTTAAACGTTGCGTGCTGAAATTGTACATAATAAATATATATTGATGAAAGTTTATTAGATGTATCTAAGCGGACGGGCATTGATCAGGCAAAGGATGTAAGAAGCGGATAAAGCAATACAATCTGTCAAATTACAAGCGATATACTCTAGCATTCCTCAAACCTCCTTGAAGTAGAGAACTCGCAGCTTTAATAGGTAGGACATGGTTGTTGCCTGTAACGCCTTCCACAAGCAACGTCTGTGCTAAAGCTGCGTGACGGATTCGTCAATCAATCGATGAATAATGATCGCACCTGTAGCTTTACAGGCCGTGCCACATTATTATGAAACACGCCTATATACATGAACCGTGTAGTGATAGTACGAATTTTGTGTTTGCCACTATGCTAAACTACCGTAATGTTATGTACATAGAAAGATGGTTCAATTTAATCGATCTATTTATGAGTGGACACACTAGATGGCCGGGGTGGTGACGCAGGCTGTTTTATCGTTTAGCCGACTCAGTCGTGTACTTTTCTTTTGCAGCACCCCCTTTGTTCCGCTTTTGCGTAATGGGAACGTTGTTTCAGACTTACGTTTATATCTAGTGATCGCTGAGGACAATAAAAAAGATAGCGATGTCTATCGTGGTTGTACTAGCCGGCGCGAACTATAATGGGGCACATCTGGTGGGACCCGGCGGGACTGTTCATTACATCCTTCGCCAGTTAGCAGACCCGTAGTACTCTAGCAAGACAGACGGTATGTGTTCCGTTGTTGAATGGCTTCTCTGTTATTCGACCGAAGATGTCTGGCAGATAGGAGCAGTGTTTCGGCTACCCAAATTTACCCTCGAATGTTACCTGTGGCACAATTTAGGTGGTTTTTTTCGAAGAAGAGAAAGTGATGCGATGAGAAGACTTTTCGTAGGCAAATGAACGATATTATAGGATGGACAGTTTAAGGCACAGCTGAAGTGTGGGTGGCTTTCAGCTCGCAAAGGAATCTGTGTTAGATTAACAGTGGTGCATTTGTCTAGAATCGAAATTAATCGTCTCAGGAAGACTCGAATGAAGTTAGCGAACGTTCTCACTAGTATGAGTTTCTGAAACTAATTATCTGACGGAAGCTTCTCCCGTCAATCGCTCAGACAGACCAGACGAGCTATTGAGGAACCCATTAAGCGCTGGTTACCTCAATCAATATGATAAAGCGCTATTTCAGTTCTCGTTGAATAAACGCTTCATTTTTTACAAATGCAACATTCATAGCTATAGCGGACATTAAAAAAAAAAAAAAAAAAAAGCATCTACGACGAAAATGATCAAAAAAGTCAATATGACTATGCAGAAAGCTAGGCGTCGGGCAGATCGTCACTTAACTTCCTATACATTTAACTTAGTGTTACTAGATCGAAACTCTAGCTATGCGTACACCTTTTTGCACTGACTGTTCTAATGGTCTAGTAGCTATTTTTTGTTGCGGTACACTGATCGTCGATACTGTAGACAGCAGAACGAATCACCTTAGATAAACTCCTTCTAGCTATCATCATGATTTTGTACGTACGTAATTTCGTGCTTGATACTAAGTATATTTTTGTTTCCTCTCGGATTACTCAGCTTTTAGCTTACCTTATCTATTTAGTATGTCGTTCGTATTTTATTTAGTATGATCACATTGTTATAGGGACAAGACGCAATCCTAGTAGACAAGTAAAAATATAGCGTACATAGCGTAGTAACTTCTTTTCCATATTCAAAAACAGACGGCGTACGGTGTTGGTGCGTTCTGACTACTCATTATCTACGTTCTACTGTTTTTATCATAACATAATTGTGTTTCATTATCAGTCACACCTAACTAATACTTGTATTTCCTGTAGAAATGTATATAGAAATGAAATCGAATTAGTAGAGAGATTGTTCCGTTAAATTAACTGTATGGTCTCGGTGTTGTTAGGAGTTGTTGTTAAAAATACGTCATTGTATTACGGCTAAAAGGGAAAAATTATATTGAAAAAAAAAAAAAAAAAAGAATAAAATAAGTCACATTTTCGACTCGATGTTGTTTTTCTGCTGATTGGCAACGACTTATTTGGCCTACTAAGTAGTTTCTAATCGTTGAAAGGCACGTAGAATGTCTGTTAGCAGCTCATGTCAATTTGGTAACTAACAACTAATAGTAGCAGACTAGTATTATATTCAATATCTAGGTAATTTTTAGTGGTAAGTAGACCAGGACACATCATGCCGGTTCTCGTCATCCGTCATCCAGGGCTCGGTGATCGTCATGCCTGCTCGATAGACCGATTGGAACAATGAAAAATATGGTAACAATAGAAAACAGCAACGACAATCATGCTGAGTAATTATAATTAGCGAAGCCGGTACGGATCTTCGATACGTATACATTATCCCTAAATCGATCTTCTCATCAGAGTTAGTTTGCTTTCTGAAACTACTCAACTACCGGGTCGAAATATAACTATTTCAGTCAAATATTGACTTGTATTACTGTTATCAATATTATCATTTTATAAAAATTACTGTGAAGCAAAATTTGAAACCAGTATCTAGTGTTAGCCAGCCCGGTGGAACGTTATGTGAAGACTTTTCAAAGCCAAACCATTTGAACCATCAAAAAACCATTTGAAATGAAAACTCCCAAATTGGATCCCAATCGAAAAAACAGAAGCATAAAGTAAAAACTGACACAAGATAGGAACAAACATAATGAACGCGTTCTATATTCTACTTCGTGATCCACAAGTGAAAGTAATGAGGCGAGTTATAAGAAAAGGGGTACAAAAGAATGATGCCTCATAGTGATCAGGGAACGGTTCGGTTCCTCTATCCACTTTACGTTGGCTTGTGGCGCTGTCTTCACCCCCCTGTTAGTGTCCAAGCCTCATTCTGCTTGAGAGTCATTGCGTTGTCGTATCTCACACAACGAAGCGCCACCTGTTCTGGCGTTGTCAGCGGAGATAGCGTTTCCACCTCGTTTTAACTTAAGGCACATGAACGCGAGACGCTTGTATAAACTGGGCAGAAATCACGACGGTGGAGAATTAGCTGAAGTGTATGAACGGCGGACGCATTAGACAAACTTTATGCAACGGCACTTTGTTTCTGCGCTGCATTCCGCTACAACATTAGCGCACGATAAGTGGTGTCAGACAGTCGGTAGAGAGGGTCAAAGAGAGGTAGACAAACAGCGAATTTCGTTTATTTTGTAGGACGAAAATCAGAACAAAAAAAGAAAGTGAAGATAATGAACTAAGAGAACAGTAAAACGCAGCTGGCAATCAAGCATACAATTTCCCGGGAGCGCCTTACCGCATCCTGCTGAGCGTCGAGTATATCCCAGTGTAGCACGCATACATCGTAGAACTTAGGTTAGCAATGAACAAATACAGGACCACAACATTGTCCGACATACACAGTGTAAAAATTTGATGTTTCACCGATTTTTGTCGTTGGTGAAAAGAAGTCGTGAGCCCCTAACGACTTGCCGTAATTCAATAAGCGCATGCAAAAAAAGGGGGATTTTGCGGTTGGCGAATGGAGGAGAGCTAATGAAAAAAATGTTTTCTAATTAAATATACAGATAAAATATCAGCTCTATTTCTCTGTAGACGGCAAGCCGTGCCACTATGAATTTTTTGCCTCTTGCAGTAGGTCCAGGTCGTTGCAGCAACGGACTATCCCAAAGGTCAGTGCGGAAGAATATCCGGTGCAGAAATAAGCCGCGTGTCGGCTGCATAACGAAGAGGAACGAAGACATCAACGCGAGCATAGAAACTTCGTGTGCTAAGTTAGTGCCCATGAAATGGGCCATAACGAAAGATCTCGAGGAGGTTTGCCCCTTGACGATTAGCTAGCTGAACTCGTAATTCAGTTCTATTCAAGAAAGTATGCCGCCATCTTGTTTATTCGTACCAATCTCTTGATCGATAGTAAATAGAAGCGCTCAAGCATGATTCGAATCAGGGTCGTTGCCAGCCTGTTCAATGTGAACGATTTTTGTCTACCTATAAACTACTTTAAAACCTTCTCAAATACTCGGTATTGTTTCGGTTCCAGAGTGAACGATACAGCTATTGTTGATTTTTTACTGAATTACGCTGGCCGTTGATGGAGCTCGAACCAGCGACCCTGGCTACAGAGCTTCCACAATGGGCGCTGATAGCGCAGTAGAGGTCCCACGATGCGAGTTATGTTTGCCACCGCTTTGCTTGTGCACAGCATGATTTATAGTGCGTTCTATAAGGAAATCGATGTCTTTTTGTTTTTCTGCCTTTTGATCGATGATGCACTACTATCGGGTGTTGAATAAATTATTTTGCATCAGTAGTTTTCGAAGAAACGAATTATCATTATCTGTTCATCTGCGAAGACCTGTCGTGTACAGATTATGGAGCTAAGCCGTCTGCAAGCCCAGAAACTGAAGACTACTGATGGCGTCTGTCTCTTTGTGTTATAATTTGTTATTATTATATTTGCTATTGTAGAGACGAATAAATTCATAGTCAGCACATTATGTTGACCTCACTAAACGAACAGTTAGGTTATTATTGGAACTTCTTTAATGATGAACTCGTTAAAGAGGTAATAATTACAATGACCATCAATCTTAATAATCGTAGAATATATGTTGCATATCTTCTATCCATCACAAGCTATCTTCGCTTGTTGGTATGGTAACGACGTCGCAAACCGCATACGATAGGCGCCCTTCGTTCATTCGCCATCTTTGATTTCGAAGAAGATACTTCCGGGTGTATATGGTTACATTAAACAGAACAAAGCGGCATAAGTGCCGACGCACATATGTATAATCGTACGTAATTTGTATATATAATTCTCCTGACACAGATAAAACTTTTCGCGACTAGCTAATATCGGCACATTGGCTCGTTCGATTCATTATTGTAGGAGAATAATAGTAATAATGACACACACATCAAGAGAGGACAAGCCGCCAAAATCGACAATAGTAATATCGCGGACTCTTCTCGATACTATTCATTTGGATCGTCCCGCTCTTCAGTTACTGCACACGTCGGTAAGCATAATCATTTTACTAGATAACGATTGATTTGCACCATCAATGGAATAACAAGAAGGTCGCCTTAATATCTGCTACTCTTTTTCTTCGGAAGAGCATCAACAAAATTACTTTTATCTATTTTTGGAGCGGACCTGGGTTGTCCAGTTCTTATTGTTGCCTTAATAATTTTTCCTCGCCAGACGCACACATTGTCTTGATGTTGCCCTCGCAAGCGGATTTACGTCTGCCCAACAGATTGGGATGGTATGCTATTCTTCAAGCCGGACAACGTCGAAAAGGTAAATTTTGTTCCTTTTGCTCCTGCCCACAAAGATGGTAATAACACCAGTGGCAACAGCCATTACATAGATAGCTCGATTATCTCAGACCTTAGTTCCCGATCGCTTTTCGTAGCTTGGATAGTTTGGCTTGCTCATCGTATGGATTGTCGTTGGAATAGCTTTGAAGTTTAGTCAGTGCGCTGTTGTGGGCTTGTGACTAACTTCCCGTTGGTCTTCTCGCGAATATTGCCCAGACTCTCCCACTCACCTTTGCTGTTATTTGACAGCTTTGTGTTCGCCCTAACGCTGCTGCTGGCCGCTATCGCCGGGACTCACAGCACGTAAAGGGGGCCGTTGGAGCACCGGAACAATAATCAGGTCAGTCGGCTGAACCGAAGTGGCAGCCACGACGATTACGGCTGTTGATGGTCGCTGCTTCCCGCCACGACAGCAAATAGCGGTGCAATGCGAGCATCAGCGGCGGTGAGTTGCTCTGTGTGGAGGCCCTCAGAGACTTCATGGGAAGACTTCAAAGCAGGTTTTGTGTTAGACGACAATAATCTAAGGCAAGAAATGTTTGGCATACGGCGGCTCGCGAGGTCGACACCCATAGATGCGACGATGCGCACAAATATTAATGTGCGAAGATTGAAAACGATGAACCTTTTTTGATTCTTGGACGGATTGGCTAAGGGTGATAGTGGTAATAATATGAGGGTTAGTTAGACAAATACTCTAATATTTATATACCAGGTTATTACAAGCGAAATCTATATCTGTCAGATTTTGAAATAGAATAAGTTTCGAACTGCACACCGCTAGTAAGCGAAATCTGATAAATACGCTAGTCTTCTAGCAACTTGGGAGTAAAAACAGGTTGAGTTGACTGCGGAAAAAAATACATTTGGAAGAAAAACAATTTTTCATTGTGAAAATTAACATTCAGTAAACAACAGACCATAGTGCTGTAGAATTATTGA